GATCACCAGTGTCTCATATTTTAAGAATATTTCTTTGGGCTAGTTTACAAAACTGAATACTCTGTCAAACCCTGTTAGCAGCTATAAATGTAGTTTTAATCCCAAATTTTCTGTGGTAATGAAAGCATCCAAGGTCATATATACTGTACAGTAGGTGTTTAATCAATGCCTTGTTGTTGTCCATGCCTACATAATACATGCTGGCTAATGAAACCACATGCTGAGGTAGATGTATTTGAGCAAAGCACATATACTGTATATACATAAAGTGCAATAAGCAGGAATTCCCTATAGAGTGCTCAGTGTTATGAAACTACTCACTTGCACTTTATACACATTACATCATGCAATGTAGGAAATCTTTAGTACAGTATGTTATTCTGATTAATAACACGTATTAGGCGTTGTCTGAATAGCGCATAGGCAACATTTGCAAAAAAAAAAGTAAATGACATTATTTAACCAGTATGCTGCCTTAAAATAAAGCTTTAAATACTTTTGGACACTTAAACACACTCAGTTGTATTTAGCACTTGGACCTACTGTACAGTGTAAAAGCTTAAAACTAAATCTACAAATACATACGGGTTTGAAATCATCCCTCCCAAAACAGGAGAGCAGTTACAAATATGAGGATTGCAAATTGTATTTTAAGTGACATTTTAGCCGTTGTAATAGTTTATACTGTATATGCTGAGATATTAAAACAGAAACAAAGGAATCACAACTAAGCAACAACTACACAGATACCTGAAAACTAATTAGAAAAAAGTAGATGACCAAATTATACAATAAACCTATACACTTCAGGGCCTCTTTGATTTGTAATTTAAATGACTTCTTAAAAGCATGTATTAGTACTTTACTACTGAAACACAGCTTGCTGGCTGCTAGCAAATGCCTGATACATGTCTTATTAAGATTTCTACTGTGGTGAACAAACACCTAATTAAAATATTCTCTCCCTCAGCCAAGCTAGACTCATCACTACTTTAACTTGAGCTCTTGGAGACACGGCTGTGAACAACGGTGATTTCCTTCATTATATCTCACAATAAAGAAATCACCTGCAGCTTATGACCTGTATTATAATCTAACACTTTGTGAAAAGCTATGTAGACGTATGGAGTTTTGATTCAAAGGTGAAATGGCGGACAAAACTGAAACAACTCCGTGTTACATGTGGATGAACAGGGATTTCTTGAGACAAACAAAGAAAAATGGACACATATTCACAACCTGCTCTATTCACAGGGGCTCAGTGGTTCTGCAATAGAATAATGAGATACTGTCCACGCTATATTAAGAGATGCCTTTGAACTTGCATCAGAACTGTCTTGCGACAGACTGCACACAATTAAATTTGACACAGCAAAAGGAAGAAACCCATCTTGCCACAAAGCCCAGGCCTTCTATACTCCAGAGAGCTACAGAGCAAGAAATCAGTGGCATGACACATTTTAGAGTTTTCCCTTAAGAGGATTACCCAGCGCAGGTCGGTCAGCTAGATAACGACTTGAGTGTCCTGATCCAAACTCCTGATACACAGTTTTGTGGGTTGGGCTGTTTGAGTGTTTGAACAAAGAAATGTGAAACTGGGAAGCAGTGCTTTTTGTTACTGAGCGCTGAAATAAAAATGCTTATGAGGTGGGTAGGAGTTATCATACTGCATTAAGCTTTCTTGCAGGGGACCAAGAGAGTCAGACACTGGTATGCTACCGTACGTGAAGAGAAAATCCTTCAATCCTTTTCTCTGTGTGGTAAACAGAGGTATCTAATTTAATGGAATCCGACAAAGGTATAGATTCCAGACTAGGTTTTATTCTATCATCCTCAGTGTTTCTTTGTCAATGTGAAATAACTCACTGTTTTATCACCTTTTTAAGGTTTCCTTTAAAATATAACCAACTTCTGCTACAGAGTTGGGAAATATAAGATTGATTCGAAATCCCCTGGTCACAACAGCTGTTTTCTATAAATTCCTATTTTCAGACAGGATAAAAACTAGGCAAGAGAAAGAGAAACACTAATAACAAAACATGAGTCGATAACCAACAGCAGGTGAACTCACATATTGTTCCGTCTGGCATCTCCATTGACTGCCCTCCTATGGGTGTGTATTAATTTACAAACTATTTTTTAATTATCTTACGTTCAAAGAGTATAAGCTTAAACGCAACTTGACTTCAAGTGGGCTAAAGTTAGCACAACATGAAAAACAACGGCTGTCAGATCTCATAATAGATACAGGATGCTTTAAGTATGACTTAAATAGAAGTTAAGATGTTTCACTTTTGAAGTGCTCTAATGCTAAATGTGTTGCATACTGTGATGCTGAAGCATCATGGGACAGTGAATCTAGGTTAGAAGCTTCTGTTCTCTGCACTCTTACCAATTTGTGATGTTGCCCGGCAACACTGCACCAAAATACACAGAGCTGAAAAACCCTAAAACACTGCAGGTTAAGAAAATGTACAGTAGTATTATGCACTAGACCTTTTAGTGGGAACGCTGAATCTAAAAAAATCTCAAACTCCAGCATCTCCATGCATTTTCGTTCTTTATCTTCTTTATTCTTCATTCATTTTCTTCTTTAGAGAGTTGTTTTGATTAATTTCCCCTTAATTGTGAGTCGGGATGGAATAAAAATCGTGCTATGCATAATTAGGAAGGAAATGTGAATGTGGTCGTATAAAACAAGGATGGAATGCTTTGTGAAGTAGATTTCATTTGTCAAAATGTAATTATGTGCTTTTTAATTGTTAAAAAGAATCATGGCGCCACAATGAGCAAAGGCCTTTTTAAGTGGTTTTGGGGATGTTTTAATAACAACGGTACCGGCACTGGGCATTTGAGATTTCAAAGCAAACTCCACAGTTTTGCAGAGATTAAAGAAAAATGAAGATTACAGTTTTGAAACACTTAAATGCCTTTAGTTTTCCAACTGCTTCTTCCTTCTTTGTGGATTAGGGATGAAGCTCTCCAGCTTTCACCAATCATGAGAGAGACAGAAAAACATGTATCAGACAAACATCAACCCTCAGGGAATTAATAGTCTTATACAAATTAATCACATTTAAGGATGCCAACATACTTCAAAACAGTAATCCAAAACAACCAATCAATGCTGAGAACTAAAATGTAAAGAATTCATCACTGCTTCAAGCAAAAGACATGGGAATCGGTAGTTTTTTTTCTTGATAACTGGTGTCCTGTAAAACAGATTAATTAATCTGATTATGCCGGTGGAAACGTGTTCTAAAATTAGCTGCTTCTATTCTTCATACATTGCCACTCATAACCAAACTCAGATCTTAAATACGACGTTTACTCTTTAAAACTGACTTGATCAGCACGGTTCCCAAAATGTAAAACTGTGCATGCACAAAATGTCTCTCCAGCTTCACTAATGTGAACTGAAATGAGGTTATGGTGTTTGGCACACAGAAAAATTCAGTACAAATAGCAGACAGATGCCTCGATGATTCATATGGGTGTGCTTTTGGATCGGACTGCTAAGGTCTTATTGATATACTTCAATTGGCCAAATGTCTTACTTTCTGGACTGAAATGTGGTCTGTGGAGACATCAATATAAAGTAACAGAACTCTGTATCTTCAGCAGTATACTAAAATTATCATTGCTCAGTTTGAAGCCATTTGAATTGGGTCTCATCCTACAAAATATAATGGATTAATTTGCTTCTGTACATCGTATCTCGTACTGCCTGTCTCTCCAAATTCCAAAAAGTAAATATCCAACAATACACAAAGGATCAGGAATGAAGGGGCTTTCTTACAACCCTACAATGGTAATGGTTTGATGTTTTAAGACTTAGCTGAGTAATTAAACATGTTTTTATAAAGTTCTTTTTTAGGCATTCTGATTTGTTTTTATATCAGTCAATGCCAGCCACTTGCATTCAGAGTTTCTCATTAAACTCATTAATCGTAAGAGTCTCTGTCCCCTCTGTTTTTCTGACTTGAAAGTTTAAGTTCTGCTTAGAAAATAAAGACTGACTAAAATACTGTACATCCTGAGAAGCCTGGAGTGAAAATGTTTTTTGACAGTAAATAGGACTGTGCTTTAGTCGAGTGAGAAGCAAATCAGATGTTGTGTGTTCATAGATGTTTGTAATGCTATGTCTTTTTAAAATACTTTGCTATTAGATTATCAGGTGTACCCAAATATAAACCTAGGCTATGAATTATAATGTATAAATGCGATTGCACACCCTAGTTAACTTTAACATTCATTTTTGGAAGTCAGTTTCTCTGGGTACAGAAAATAAAATTGGATAAAAAATTACAGTAAGTGGTGTTATCATTTTGTACTGCAAGTACTATTTAGGAAAAAATGCTAGGAATGTTTAGATCTGGGCAGAAGTAAACCTTACCAACTGAATGTTTTGTGGATGCAAAAATATGTTTTAAATATGTGTGTTTAATAAGCATATACTGTAGGCTAATTATTATATAACATTTTAAACGAAAAGATGCCTCTCGAACTCCAAAACTAGAAACTAAATATGAAGAAGAACAGGAATCACCGAAAAATACGTCTGGCAAAACGGAAAAATGTATTCAGATGAAATTGTAGATGACAATTAAGAGTCACTGCACTCATGGGTACCTCATACTGTACTATTGTTGTACCATAGCAAGTACTACTGTATGGTGTAATTTGCATTGGCTGTCTTGCCCTTACAGGCAACATAGACTCCTTTGTTAAAATACGGGAAATAAGCGTTACATTAATGGTTTAAGAGGGAAACAAATTTATTTTCAAAAGCTGTTTCACTGCGTGTAGCTCGTAAAATACTTCCTATTCTATGAATGCATCGACTCCAAAAGGCACCAATAATCAAGGCATGCTCAAGGTAAAGGCGCTCAACACACAGTGCCAGTAGGGTGTACAGCGTAGCTTCAGCGTATCAAAAGTAGACCCGGACCATAACAAAGTTGCTGTTAGGGAAATAAAACAATTTCATCTGTATTTACCTCGGATGTAGTTGCATTTGCTTTCATCCAGAAGACTGGAAGAAGACCCTCCCATGCTGGAACGCTGCTGTTCACAGAAGCTTCTGCCTCGGTAATGTGTGCGGTTCAGGTGCTCTAGCTGTCGAGCCTTGCAGAGCAGCACAAACAGCCCCTTCCTTGCTGCTGCGTGGCTGTCGCGATCTGACGGGCGTGGAGAAGATCGCTGGCGTTTATCGTGAGCTCCCTGTCCTCAACATCTATCACAAACTTCCTTAAACACTGCAGCGCCTCCTGCTAAGATTCGTGCCTTTCGTGTCGGTTTCGTTTTTTTTTTCTTCATTTCGTGTGATCCTGCTTCAGTTCACGCCTTTCAAAATAGCTGCTATTTTTTGTTTGAGCCTATTTTATGTGAAACTTTTAAAAGTAGTGTAGAGTTCGGCAGCGTTCGGAGTTCTTGATTTTTAGAAAACTTTAAAGACTCTTGATTTGACTGAATCTCCTACTAATCTTTTTTTTCTGTACATGAAGAATGATTTATTAACCAACAATTAATACAATGCTCGACATTAATTTGTATTTGTGTAATTGTATTCATTTTCATGAATCGTTGTATAATTATGTCCGCTTGATGTCAATGTAGGGTTATTACCAGAAGACATAAAATAGTACGTCAAAAAATAAAACTCATTCTTCCCGTTATGATTAATACGAAGGAAGGAGTCGTGGTTGCCTTTATTTAAATCGCGTTTAATAAGCGTTTGGGCTTTTATTAAAATAAATACTCTTGCATACTATTTCTGCTCTAATGTACAAAGCAGGTATAAATATAACGGCTCTGTCTTGCATAGCACTATTTTATAACTTACCATCTCATTGTTTTTAATATTTGAGGTTGCAGTTAATATGAATTCAATTCAGACACACTGTGTTCTTCAGTTTATGACTATATATGCACAGTAATCTGTATGTGTCTTAATTTTTTTTTATTTATGTTTTCTTTTTTATATACAGTATTTTGTGCAATCCAAAGGGCACATTTCAAAACTCCCGCGCTGTTTCTCATTATGGTTTCTAAGTGAAGATGACGTTTCACGAAAATCTTTTTCACGAAAATCACATTTTCGTGGGCCAGCAATAGATTGCACAGAAATGTATAAACTGCACTACAGTACTAGTATCCGAATATCAGAGGCAAAGTGGCGATAAAAGGTACCACCCACAGTCTTGCCCTACTGCAACATGATTTCAGTTTACCTGTATGTTTGTTTAATTGCTAAATTGACGTCTGTAGTCTGGAGTACAGAATATGGTAATTTTCAAATTTCGTAAAGGATGGGTGAACAATAAGCCTTCAGTAATAGGGGTTTGCATTTATAGATATTTCTTTTTTTTTTCTCGTGTGGTGTTGTGTGGTAATGAATATTTATTTCCCTACGTTTCCCAAACTCCATTGCGGAGCCGTAGCTCGCCATATTGAGATTTAAGAAGAGAGCGTTTGGAAGTGCCGTGTATTCAAAACACTGAAATGTAAGTACACAGACGAGTACGAAGCAGTAATGTGGTGTATTCGGTTTTGCATTTGCAGAGGGTTGGATTAATGTTATAACACGAAGAAAACGATAAATGCACAATCATAACATGCTCTTCGGTTTGATGTTGCCTACCTATGTAGATACTGGCTTAGCCGTTTCAACGTTACTACAGGTTTTAGAGAGCTATGTCGTCGTATAACGCATTTTGAAATACAATAAAAGAGGTTGAAATTATTTTTTTTATCGTTGATGTTTACGTGTATATGCAACATCGGCGATGCTTGTTAAAGCGAAACTGCCATTTGCAGACCAGCGCATTGTTGCGTTTACGCGATGTTGCTAGTAGTAAATTGTCAGCCACAAACAAAGGATATTAAGAACTGTAATTGAGCGTTGTCTGAAATCATGGCAGGTGTAGAAATGAGTAATTCTAGCTTCTACTGATGTTTAAGGCACCCTTTTCTCACTGAACAACCTTTAGTTGTGCAGCCACTTTGATGTTTCAGTTGTCTTCCTATTCAAAACGGCGAATTCACAAGGATGCATTGCTGATTGTGAACTGCTAACCTACCTAACAGTACACACATCCTCCTCTTTTTTCTTGAATTAGGCTCTAAAATATTCTCTGTATTCATTTTTAAGGTGGGGGTACTCATTAACACCCATTGGTTTCCTGTTATTATTTTATCTCAGTAATTTTTGCTAGGTGTGAAACGGAGGACTAAGGTTATACTGTAGCTTAGGTGCTACACGTGTCTGTTACTGCAGATAGAAAATTATTAAATGTCTTGTTAAACGTGAGCTGACCAAATTTACAATGGTAAGCACGCTACCAGTCGGTAGAAAAGCTTGTAAAATCGAATACGATTAGTACGCAGTGGAATCTGCACATTTGATTTTAACATAAATTAAGCTTTTTTCCTTGTTCTTAGAGAATGCATAAAAGTACTAATATAAGGCAAACAGGTAAAATGGCAAGCTATATTATCTGCAGATGCTCTAAATGTATAACAAAATGACAAAGCGAGTTCTTTTCCTATGGTCATTTGTACACATATTGAGGTATTCGTTTCAACATAAGGCACTTCACTGTTTGAAAAATCACACTTTAAACGAGTTTAGCATATAACAGTTCATCATGCTTTTAAGGCTTCTCTGAAGGTGAGCTCTCATGTCAAAACAGAAGCAGGCCATCCTCCAGTTTTGCCAAGAAACACTGTTGTCCTTGTCTCCAGTTTTGAAAGAATGACTCAGACAGTGCAGACCAATGGCGTTCAGCCTCTCAGTAAGACCTGGGAACTCAGCCTGTATGAACTGCAGAGGACTCCGCAGGTAAGACGGCCAGCGCTGGCTTTTTTGAAACAGGAATTTTTGTCTTCAGATTAATAAAATATACATTCCTTCCCTCAAAGTTGACCTTATAAATTAAGAATGTAAGTTTGTACATATTTGCATTCAGTTAGTAAAGGAATTACAGTAGCTAAGAGTTTATCTTTCTTGTTGGATTAAAAAGCACTTGCTGTTTCTGAAGTAATGCTTTTAATGCGGCAACTTACCTTCTTATTATAAACCTACCTGCATGGTATGGTTTTGCCCGCAGGAAGCGATCACAGACGGGCTTGAGATCGCGGTCTCTCCAAGGAGTCTGCACAGTGAGCTGATGTGCCCCATCTGCTTGGACATGCTGAAGAACACCATGACGACAAAGGAGTGCCTACATCGCTTCTGTGCCGACTGCATCATCACAGCACTCCGCAGTGGGTATGTGCCTCGAAGTAAAAGTGGAATGGAAGTAGATTCTGAAATAAAAATAAAAAAACACCTTTTCTGATGCTTACCACCATGCTTGTTAAATCGTCTGTGACTACTTGCCAGGCAGATCACTTTCCCTCTGTAAGTGTAAGGGAGAAAGCATTCTCGTCTTACTTTCAGAATACTGTGGGTTATATCAAGTCTGTTCAGTTGCTGTAACTGTGGAAACCATCACTAAGTTTCTAGCACCACTGAGGTCAAACGTCCAGCTGAATGTTTGAATCGGTGCGTTACAAAATGAGCTGAACAGGAAACGGAGCGAGGGGACTTGACGCACAGTAGGTGTTCAGAATCCTCAAAAGCATTGACAGAGTTGGCGCAGTGTACTTCTTTGAAATGAACGGGGAAACTGAACTAGAAGACACTAATGGAAATTACGTGGAAGTGCTTTTAAAATTGAGAATCGGAGGCTCGTCTTTATCCAGAGGGTTGAGAGCATATAGAACAAGCTAGCTGGCCATAGGGTTGTAGCCAATACTTGTGCTTCTTTCAAGAAACGGCTGGATTTGTTCAGTTTGTCGGATCAGTAAGCTACAGTACTATCAGATAGATCGAATGACCTCTTGCATGTATCCTTACCTATGTTCTTCTGAGTAGATGGTTTATTTTGAGATAACTACGCTGACAAACAGTCATTCGTTATGGGTAGGGTAAATATCTGCAACCAGCTGTCTTCTGGGTTGTATTTATTAAAGTGTGGAACTGTGTATGTGTGTGTATATACACCCAGTTTTCAGTCACCAGTTATGTGTGACTTGGCTTTCCAGCACCAGCCTCTGTTGGGAGTAGTAGGACCTCTAAGCATTCTTCTTCACACCCACCTGTCAGAGCTATTCATCCTTTGTCATGCATCAGTTTCCATGGTACCTTACTGGAGAGTGAGCATAAAGCAAGGCACATCACACGCTGATGTCTCTACATTCCTGCAGGCACCTGAAATTTCAACAAACTGTTCCCTTGCTGACTTATGTTCACATTCTCCCATGTGGCACTCTTCCTATAATTCACCTCTGCTTGGGGAATCCTGGTCAGAAGTGGCTAGTGGTGTTAATATTGGTTAAGGTCTTTATTTGTATGGGGCGTCTGAAGCAAGAGTGGACCCTGCTTGTAACCTTAAAAGCACATAAACAGTTTCGTGGCTTGTCTTGAGATACAGGTATTTCAAAACAACAGAGCAGTTTTCCAGAATTGAAGTCTATCTTCATTCTGTCTGTTGTGTAGCTAGGTATACGCTCTCCAGTATTGAAACCATTAAGATTAGCTCCCATGTAACAAGAGATAAAATGCGTCATCTTTAAATCTCATTGCGATCCAGGGTTGTGAACTACTCTAAAACATGGCTCATTCATTGTGTTTCTGGCAGCATCATTGTTAACCTGCGATAGATATTGAAAGATGTGATTGGGTTATTAGTAATAACTGATGCTACTGATCCTTTACACATAACTGTTAAAAAAATCGTCTGATAAAGAACAAGAAGACCTATATCAACAAGACAATCTCTAACCTTCACACCTTATTTTAACATACACACTGATTCTCTGCCCTCACATTTGTTCTGCTTTTAATTGCAGATCTTGATCCAAACATAATGGGTTGAAAGTACTACAAAAAGTAGAAATAATGTGAAAACAAAGTGTCGGAGAAAAACATAGCTGACAACTCTATATGCCTGCTACTCACCCTCATTAGCTTAATGAGTGCTTAATGAAAAGAATTAGAACCATAATGCCGTTTTCCCCCTGGATATTTCAACCTAATAGATTTTCATTTTTTTTTCTTCTTAAACAGAGCATAGTATTGTAATATGTATGTGTCTACCTAGCTTTTATGCCTTAATTTCTGGACCAGGCATTTTCCCCTAAAAATGACCTGTTATATTGAATCATCCTGGGCTGACTCATTACCTATTTATGGAGCTTGATTCATGTTCATAGTTTCTAAATGGGTGGCAGTATGAAAGATGCGTTGACTGTTTTCAAAGTGAAGATAGTGTGTGGTTTTCCTAGATATTTTTATAAATGAGATGATTTTCATGGTACATGTGCAACTGTACAAATTGCATGTGAGGCATTTTATCTAGACTGTTTACTAATGTGTCACTTGTGTCTCTTAGGAACAAAGAATGTCCAACTTGCCGTAAGAAACTGGTGTCCAAGCGATCGCTTCGGCCAGACCCGAACTTTGACGCCTTGATCAGCAAGATCTACCCCAGCAGGGATGAATACGAGGCCCACCAGGAGCGAGTTCTGGCCCGCATCAGCAAACACAACAACCAGCAGGCTCTGAGCCACAGCATTGAGGAGGGCTTGAAGATCCAGGCCCTTAACCGGTGAGATCTGCTGTTCGCTCTGCATAATCTTCATAAATCTCTTCCCCCACTGTCTGGAGTGCAGAAGTAAAATGATCTGTTTGACGCTAGCATTTGCAGATTCTGGGACATGTGAGATTTAAATGATTGGTAACAAATAGGTCAAAGCTATACTATTTTACACTTTGCAGAGCATACAATCTTAAGATAGAATTCGGAATGGATAAACTGTAACACTGCAGTGAGATTCTCTTACCAGATGTCTTAGATGTAGTGGCTGCTGTACAGTTGTATGTATTAAGGTCTCATTGAGGTTCACCCTATTAAAGTTTAAGTTAACAGTGATAGGTGTTAAGGGACAATAACCTTCACATCCCTCTCCTGTAGGCTTCAAAGGGGGAAGAAGCACCAGATTGAGAATGGCAGCGGTGCAGAGGACAATGGCGACAGCTCCCATTGCAGCAATGCCTCTGTGCACAGTAACCAAGAGGCAGGGCCCAGCATCAAACGCACCAAGACGTCTGACGACTCTGGCCTCGACATGGACAACGCCAACGAGAACGGGGCAGGGGACATGGCCCTGGATGGGGCCAGCGAGATTGAACTGGTGTTTCGGCCTCACCCCATGTTGATGGAGAAAGACGATGCTGCACAGACAAGGTGGGTTTCCTCTGTCAGCCTGTATTTTGTGGGACTTCTTTTACTGGGGCTTGCTGGGAGCTGACAACAAATGAATAGAGAGTGTAGCAAATGGAAAAACAAAACCCTGACTATCACTGAAGAGAATCTTTTCAATTAAATATGTTTTTAGTTGGGGATGGATAATTTCCCATTAATTGTAAAAGAGATTATAAAGGAGCATAAGAATTATATTTCAATGCTTGCTTTTTATAGTGATAGCTCTTATTTAAGGCTTATTAGTGTCCGGGATCTCTTTAAGCTGTGCTGATAACAAATGGATCCATCGCGTGTTTCTTTGTCTATGTCTTGAGCATTCTTATCTTGATGGAGAAATAATTTGTTTCTCTATCTGTGTGTGTAACTTGGCTGTATTGGATTTGTGCCTAGGTACATTAAGACTTCAGGAAATGCCACAGTTGACCACCTTTCTAAATACCTGGCTGTAAGATTAGCCCTAGAAGAACTTCGGAAGAATGGTGATGCCAATCCCATCAATGTGGAAGCTGCCAGTGAGAAGCAGTATACCATCTACATCCCCACGGCCAACAGCCAATTCACAGTACGTACAACCTAGTGGGACAGAAATCTGCATTTTTCAAGATGACAACTTTGTCTATTCCATGAGCATGGACTGATTTTAAAACTATTTTAACATTTTTCTTATTGCGCATTTACTCCCAAAGGTGTTCTTTTGGAACTTATCTTTAGAATGAACAGCAAAGCCATCTAAAATGTAATGAGCATGGAAAAGTCATGTGACAGAAAGGGTATGGGAATGAGGACTACAAATATACACAGAATATTGCATACAAAAGCTGTGCATTTCTTGGCACAGTCATTTCCTTCAGCGTGTTGCTGAGACAGGGGGACACTTCTCTTGTGATGCAATCTGGGAAAATATTTCCACCTTAAAAGTATTCTAGGCTTTTAATTGCTACCCATTTGGAATTCTGAAATGCGTGCTGCATTTTGTGGTTGTGAGTATTTTGCTGCATCTGTGCAGTTTATGGAACAATGTGCTAGATTTCACTGCAGGGTCAGTATACTACGTTTTTGGGAGGGACAGCTAGTTGGCACAGTTTATAATAGAAAGCTGTTCTACATTGAGCGTTACTAAGTGAGGGACAAGTAGATGTGATATAGTAAGCATGTAGGGATGGAGGGATAAACATTTGCTTGGAGAATCTCCAGCTGAGTTTGAATTTATTCTGAAAGGTTTACAGTGTCTTTCTTGGCTCCTTACCAGGTTCTGAATGGGTCCTTCTCCTTAGAGCTGGTGAGTGAGAAATACTGGAAGGTTAACAAACCAATGGAGCTCTACTTTGCACCTACCAAGGAGCACAAATAAACGAGGGACTTGTGCAACGGACTGAATCTTCTTCCTCTGTCATTTCTCTATTGGATTAACTAGTTTCAGAAGCAGATGTTTCTGAATCACTTTTTTGCTGCTTTTTTGTTTTTTACAGTCTTTTTTTATGGATGTAGGGAGGGGGGGGGGTGCTAATGAGTAATTTGTAATCCCCATAAATATTTTTCTGTTCAAACCATACACTCTTTTCTGTATGAAAGAAGGAAAAAGGCTCCTTAAGAACTTGAACATGGTTACAAACAGGTCACAAAGGAGGGTATGTGGCTTCTCTTTCCCATTTAGTAGTAGAAAATTGATCCAAGAATGTTGTCAAGCCATTTCTTGAAATAAGCTAGGGCATTGGCTTCAACAACTTGGCTGGCTTGCTAGTTCAGTACTCCCACAACCCTTTGCGTAAAGGGTTCTTTAGTTTTAAATGCACTTCCACATTAATAGTAATAGAGCTCCACAAGTGAGTACAAACTGGTACCCAATGTGAGTGCACACCAACAAAATAATCAGTTTGTAAAGAATTTGCAGATAATATTAAGTGTCTTTTATAACTGAAAATATGCTTACATGCATGTATTAATTTCTAAACATGAATTTGTAAAGAGGCCTTTCATGTTAACATTACAGATAAGTATGAAGGGCTTATTAATAAAATGGAAAACAGAAAGGATCAATACGCATTGTTAATAAAAACACGCGGACGAACAATGTTTTACTTTCTTACGGATCGGACAGTCCTTAGAAACCTTTTTTCACCTGTGTGCTTTTCTTGAGTTGCCAGTACTCAAAGGTTTGCCAGACTGACCTTCACTTGGATTTTTAAGGGCTTGTGGTTAAATTGTTGTTAACCTCCTCCCAGAAACTGACCTGCTCCCCAGCTGCAGTATTTACAAATGTCAAAGAAAATTAAGTATAGTTTGTCAAAATGCCCGGGTTCAGAAGACAAAGCAATATTGCTGATATTAAATGTGAGATCCTTAAACAAAACAAATTTAGAGATGGTTGTTCTTTTTCTAAATTAATTTTTTAACCTGGTTTCAGCTTTAATGGAGGGGAATGAAACCGGCTTCCTTAAGATCATGCAAAGTAAAAGCCTACTGAAGACCTGAATATCTTTGAAGCATGTTATTATTTTGGGGGGGGTTGAAGGCATCTTTTACATGAAACATAGTTACCAGGTTTTAAATTTGATGTTGTTTGAAAAGGTTGAACTGCATTATCTGTTTGAAAAAATTAAAAAAAGATATATATATACTGTATGAATGAATTCTCTGCTTTCCTTATGTGGTCTTCTTTACAGAAGAAGTTTTCTTTACAACTGTTGTACATCTCTTCTTTGCTTTGAATGTGAACCAAATCATGTCTTTAAGGGTTTTTCAAAACCCATTCAAAAATGTTTCCAGACCTTAGTTACAAGGGTACTAGTTATAACTCCTTGAATTTATATAGCTCTTCTCATCCCAAAAGGCTCCTAAAGCATTTAACACACTGGGGAAGACCTATATCCTACACTGTAGTGCAGCACCCAGTGATGTGCTAGAGCCCCACTATACAGCAGAGAAAAAGTGCTAAATTACTTTCATGAAATAAGGGTAAACTTCAGGTGGGCCAGATTGTATAAGACTGAAATAGAATTTTACCAGGGCATATTTTGAGAAGTTTTGTGGGATTTTCAATAATGAAGTAGTCAGGACCTTAGTTTGTTGTCCTGTTTGTAAAAAAAATGGCAGGGGTCCCATTTTATTGCATTTAGATTCAATAATGCATAGGTTGTTTAATCTGTGGTGACTGAGTTCCCCACATTCAATCAGAGTAGTTTTACTGAATGGCAATGATTTTCTCCACTTTGTTTATTGCTACTTCCTTGTCTGTCTTCCCTGAAAATCTTTATCTCGGTACTGCTGAGCAAATTGTGAACAGATGGAGCAATTTAGTTCAGCGGCCTTTGCACTGGAGTATGGGATCACAAGCACAGCCTTTACATTCTCTTTAAGGGAAACTGCAACGCTTTTTTTATATGTTGTAAAATGTACACAGTAACTTTTAAAACCTCCAATTTATATTTAAAAAAAAAAGACTAAATTTCCACCACGATTTGTGGAAACTCTCACCAGGGGCGAGACCAGGGATTTGCAAAAACATGGCAACTTGCGACACTTTCACAAAGTTCATGATTTTGTGCTTAATTCTAAAGTTTTATATTTTGTTACCAAGGTGTAATAACTGGTCTGAGAAATTGGGACTGCAGTCCCCCTTTTAAAAAAAAAAAGTTTGTCTGTCTCCAACTCATGGTATGTAGACCATTAAAGCTGGAGACTATAACTGAATGATTTGAAATGGCCTTATTTCTTTGCTAATAATTGTAAAATCTTAAGGAGAAAAATGCTGAGAAGGTAGAAGGCACCTCCCTTTTAATGGTCAAATGAATAAGCCAGCTGAGAGAACTACCAATTACAGCATCATGTCAACTGGCAATAACTGTATAAGAATACAATGTGGACTAGTTTAAAATGTAAATCAGTCCAGTGGAAGGTTTAGAATTAATACTTGGAACATGCATAATATGCATTCTAAGATTTGTATGCCAGATAAGATTCAAGTGCCACTGTGTTGTAGTTTCATTCATCAGTCCAGCCAGGGTGCTTGTGGAGAAGACTAGAATGCTATGACATTAGATCCTAAAGGATTTTGGATTAGTTTAAAACCTGGAAAAGGACACTTCTCTGGCTGTTGTATAATGATCTTTGCTTTTAAAGTTGTCTTTTGTTGTTGGGGGGGGAGTAGTATCAGCCATCATATTAGAAATCAGCTAAAAACCTCCCAGTATGTTCAGTATCTCCCTCAGCAATCACTTTGGTGAAAACCAATGTGTCAAACAGGAAGTGTATGTGAAGTGTATAGTACCATAATTGCAGACAGAAGTACTTTGAGGCTGAAAAGTCAGATTTTGTTTTTATTAGGAGGCATTTCCCAAATCCCCTTAGTTTTAATACTTTCAAATTATGCACACACAGATATTCAACGATTTCATTATCTAAACAAAAACATACAAGATGATTTTATGAGCATTATATACATCTTAGCGCTGCACGTTTCTTTACAGACATTTCTAGGTTACAATCTCAGATTAAACCCCCCCACTAAAAACAAATATACAGCTGAAATGAAATTGTGGAACTGTGGTCACACAGCATGTCTGTGATTAGCTTGACAAACCAAACACTGCCTCCAATTGAAATGCAAACATTTAATCATCTGTATTTCTTGTATGACTGTTCCATCTCTAATTACTGTTTTGCTACACACCTACAGTAGAAACACCACTGCTTTTTGCCCACAGCGTGTACAATAAAACACTGTACATATCCACATTATTAGTCCTTTTTTTTTCCCTGGCAGTTTTAGTCAGAATGGAGCAAAATACAGAATGCAGAGTGTGGAGGGATACATATAAAGTAACAAAAATAAAAACACAGATGACACGCATCGCTTAAAATATGGGCTTTCAACTTTCTTTTAATTTTAAAGCAATCCCTTTGACGGATCCTCAAGATCAACTTACTATTCCATTACAAAACGTTAATAAGCGAACCGCAGTTCATCTTATCCCCTGTAATGATATTGACTTTGTATTGCTATGTTTGTAGGTGCAGGGGGGCCCTCTTGAACAGTCTCAAAATTGACCCATGAGAACCCCAGATGCTGACTAAATACTCCTGATGTAAAAATAGAAATCCTGTTTTTCTAGGTATACTGCTTTAACTGTGTGCAGCACAGCCTTGTTGTCTGCCTATATGTGCATACTGATCTTTGTTTCATGTGGTCATTACATGTATGTAAGTCTCGCTAATTGCCTCGCAAACTGTTTCAGTGTAGGGAGAACCTAATCATTTCGGGCAGTCCTTCACTCCGTCTTGCGACTGACTTCGTCGGCGCCGACAGCGTGGCTGCCTGTCTGTGTCGTGGTGTAGGTGGGCACACTGTACTTGCTGAGGACGGACTTAAACTGGGCAAGGGTGGCATCTGTGCGGACTCCTGTCGGGTCAAAATGGGTCCGGCTGACCCTGAATCCCGCTTCTGTGAGATACTGTAGGAACTTATTTAACCTGGTGAGAAGGAGACAAAGCGAGGGAGTGAATAAACTACGAAGAAAAACATGGTACACTGAATTAAAGTGAAATTTTTAGAATCTTTTGCAGAATAACAACATGACGACTCCACTCTATTCTAAGCAGAGTGTTTGTAAGGCCGGAATTTGGGTACAGACTGACAATGGTGTCGTACCACATTTTTGATGGCACAGTAGTTTCCCTAATAATGGTATCCCGATAGTTTTTCATCCACTTCTCAGCCTGATGCGATTCAGTATGTTCAAGAAAGTGACAGATCTAATTCTCGGGCAATATCTTCAAGCCCCTTTCATGGGAGGAAGAGATTTGTAGGTGATGACAGAATATGAAGCCATATTACTCAAATATTACTCAGAACATCCCCACTCTTCAATGGACAGTTCCATTTTGTATGCAGCAGTAGACTGAGCGTGTGTTTTGTATGGTACGAAGAGATGTGGTCAATCAATGAGATCCCCTTACTTGGGCATGTTCATGCCTCTAATGCTGTGGCGGTGGATGCTGTAGTAGAAAGGAGGGTGTTCTAATGGCGCCTCGGATTTCTGCCTCTTCAGCACATTTCCTGCTTCTTCACTGCTTTTCCTCTTGCCTGCAGACAAACAGAGACTCTTCACACAGGAGAAGGTTTTCTGCTTGGTGAAGGCGCTAGTCAACACTGTGTAATCATGGAGCCTAATGTTCCAGCTCTTGTTTTTTCCTACAGGCATGCAGACAATATACAAATTCCAGTAAAGAGTTAAATAGATTAGTATGGGGTTAAACGTTCTGTTGAAAGTTTTGTCCATCGGCCACACGAGTGTGGGATTTGTTTCCATTAGTGCACTAAAACCCTTGCTGTTACTCATGCATGGACAGCTACTTCTCGGTAGCACAATAGTGCAACCGTTCAGGACCTTGTGCGACGGACTGCTTACTGCTGGACGCGTCTTCCACTCTCTGAGAGGTTTTAATCACTACGCCACATTCTTCTGAGGAATGAAAAACAAAACAAAACAATCAGAGAGCTGCACACGTGGAGCTGTCGGTTAGCAGGAGGACACGGTAGCCGGGTCTCGCCTCTGGAGTACCTTGGCTGACGTGCGATGTAGGGCTATGCACAGAGAACTGTTTGAGCGTCGTGCATTCCGACTCGCAGATCAGCGTCTTCACGAGCGGCAGGATGTCGTCCATGCCATGCTGACTGGCTTCATACAGCATCCGTCTCAGAAACCCAGTGTTGAACAGAGATCCAGCCCTGGAAGAGGACGAGGCGAGGAAGAAGATGAAGAAGAAGAAGCAGGGACACAGGACGTCCACTGCAACACAAGCCTTACATACCAGAGTGGCCCCAGCTCCACAGCTGTCTTGCCTGGCATACTCTCATGGCAATTGCATGGCAGCTGTCTGTAGAGGTTTTCTGGAGAGAAGAAAAGAGAGGTAGAAACAGTAACCCAAAGGGAACTTGAATAATAAATAAGTCCTGAATGTTCACAGTCAATCCATCAAAAGGTTACCACTTGTGCATAACATAAACCTTCATTTTATAAATTGTTTAAATTATAACAAAATTATAGAACTATCAAATTTATTATTTTATAGTTAGAGGCTCTTAACTACAGCATCCCAACACATTTTATTAGAACTACAAAAACTGTAGAAGGCCCAAACGTAGAGCAGTTGACAGATCATTCCTGTGCAAGAAATAAGTCATGTTGTATAACAGCTCCCTCATTCCAGGTGCTTTTGCTACCTTGACAACAGACTGACAATCTGATGAAGGCGATATGTATTCTTCCTATTTAAAAAATAAGGTCTGTAGCACAGAGGAGTGAAAAGTCCAGACAGACAGGTTTAGCCTGAACCCACTTGAGATGGGTTCAGCTGTGCTGCTTGAACAAAGCAGTCAGACCTCCTCTACATGATGAGCAAGAGGACTGACATCTCAGCTCCTTGGAGGTGGTAGTAGGGAACGCCTGGATAAAAACGCCCATGTTCTGTATTTATACCTCAGGGGCTTGATTAACAGGTTTACCCTTCACCCAGACTTCCATTTCTAACCCTGTAAAATGGGTATCAGTCCATACTTCTTCATTTATTCTGTTGCTTTTGTAAATTGCAATGGTTAGGAAGCAGGCGTGGAGATGTGTGCAAAATATGACAATGCACTGAAAGGATTAGAATACAGGGTACCTCCATCGGCTGAGAGGAAAAACGGCTGCATGCCAATGCAAATTTCTAAAGCTAATCCTTTTCTTTAAAGCTCTTCCTTTTCCATCATGCAAAACGCGGAAACGAAGCACGTACCCTCCACCATGCTGCCTGCCTTCAGGAAAACCCTCTCCTCACACCACTGGCAGTGGATGAGCTGGCGGATTTTCTTGACCGATTCGTCGGCCTGGGAGGGGCCTCTCAGCACCCGCACCACCACCAGGACAAAGTGCTCCAGTGCCACAGCCAGCAGCACCTCGATGCCCTTATTGCAGCGGGCCGCTGCCCTGGAAGGGGGGGGGGGCAAATCCTGGTCAGGACACGCGCACACCCACGCGCGCTCTGCTGCTGTCGCGTCTTCTTTGGCTCTAGGTTGGTGCCAACAGGAGCTTTTCAAAACCCACGCTCCCCAAACCAAACACTCTCCCCCCATTTAAATCGGAACATTTGACTTGTAAAGATCCACAGGCCGCAGGGATTTCGAACGAAAGCTTTCGCAGCACCCAAGTTTCAAGTTTTCAGGTTTCAAGTTCAGTTTATTGTCATTACACTCATATACATGGTATATGGTATAACGAAATGCTATTTAGCTAGCTCTCGGAGGTAAGTAGTACAAAGAGAAAAAAACAACAACAACAACAACAACAACAACAACACAATTGTGTAGCAAAAGAAAGACGGAGACAACAGGCAGTGTGCAAAAAACAACAACAGGCAATGTGCAAAACAACAGCAACTCAGCTTCCCCATTACAGGCAATGAGTGTTTTGTCCCTTGGTGCGATACGGTGGTGCTGTCAAGCATCCTGTATATGCTGCCCTACCTTGCCACAGTGCCCATCACCATTCTCGCCGCCAGCTCCTTGTAGTACTCCGTCCGGACAATCTGACAGCCGTAGTGCCTCAGCGTCACATTCAGAGACTTGGAGTAGAGAGAGCCAGTGTCGGTGGACGTCACCGACACGATCCCCAGGTTGCGAACATTCCTGAAGGCCGCATCCAAGTAATTCACGGCTGTACCGAAGGGATCCAGGTGGCTGAAAGCACCAGCCGACACTTCGTGCCATTAAAAGGAATTCTGGACACTGAACACGTGTTTTTAGTTGAAATATCAAAAGCCGTTCCGATTTCGGAACTACACCTTTTAGTTACCACAATATTGTACTTTCTTCTGTCGGACTTTCCAGAATTTCCAGTTCTAAGGGTTTGTACTCAACTCTTTAAGTTGATGACACCCTGAAAAATCATCTTAACTTTTCTTCCCCTTCCCTCTGGTAAGCGTTATTGGAGCATAAAGGCACAAATTTCCAGATCCAGAGACAGTTTCTTCCCACAAGCTGTCGGATTACTGAACTCTACCCCCACCACTGGCTCACACTGATGTTTTTTTTTCCTCACACTGCTTATCTGACTCTTTTATAAGCTATAGGTTATTACATGTGTTGTTGCTGCAGCTGTCCTGTGTTTATGTTTTCGGTGTTTCCTTTAATGTCTTTGTATTGGTGCATACATGCAAATAAGCACTTCATTGCACTTGTGCATACGACAAATGGAGGATGTTGAGGATGTACTCTGGTGTGCCACTAGGTGGCACTGTGTATTAGCAATGTTAATACACACTTTCACAAGTGGGGGTGCTATCTCAATGTGGCCATGACTCCACATTGTTTTTGTGAATGGAGGGCTCTGATCAACTGTTGGATTTGTCTTTTAAAAATAATAGTAAAAAAACCTGATTAACCTGCAAAATCCGGTGTCACTGAATTTAAATTAATGAACCAAGTCTACAAATTAATTACACAACGCAAAGTACAAACTGTAAAAGATTGTTTTTTTATACTTAGTTACATAAACTGTCTTATATCTTTATATCTATGATCTCCTCAGATTTAATGGGTTAACCAAATGCAGGTTTATGACCATTGTTTTTAACAGAAAAGTCCAACGGTTGGCAGATGAGAGTCAACATGCCTGGAAACAGCATGGAGTTCTGGCCACATTGATGCAGAACCCCCAGATGTGAAGATGTTTAATTACCATTGCTGATACACACCGCCACCTACTGGCGCACCACAATTAGTCCTCCACCCTACATGTAAAAAACAAATCAAGCAGATAAAAGGGCCTTTTGACCCACTTAAAACTACCGATACTTAACAATATCAATATTATGAATACAGCATTTCAGTTTCTGAACTCCTAACCCGTGATCCTGCTGCAACTCACATGTAATCGAAGGGGCGCAGATGCATGATGACACTGGCATCCATTTTGGTGACCTCAACGGTGGCGATGGGATCTTCCTCTGGCTCCTGCCCCTCTGCGTCGGTGTGCCTCGAGCCGCGGCTTCCCTCCACCCTCATGTGGTTGAGATGGCAGTTCTCCCTGATCATCTTCACGCAGGCCTCGTTGATGTCGTTGATGGTGACCTTCACGGCGCGGCGCAGGTGCTTCGCCCACTGCAATCCCATGATTCCTGCGCACCGAGGAAGACGTGCGGGCTCAGTATGCGCTCACGCTGGCGGGCCTGGCCTAATTAAACTGTACAGATAAACGCGGGCCTCGGGGTGCAGACAGACAATACCCTTCTCCAGGGCAAATTAACATCCATTATTCACTTCACGAAGCCAATCGGGAAATCTTTAGCGTAAGCCATATGGCCCAGCCATTTCTATGCCGTTTTCACAAGGAGTGTCTCCTCACCAATCAGCCATGAGAAATGTGCAGCCTATCAGGTTTTGAATACATTATCCATTCATGTTGGCAATATAATCAGCGATTAACCCGCTCAGAAATGTTTAGTTTATCTGAACAGTGTATTTAAAAACTGCACATATCATGAAATGGGACATTTGCATACTCGGCACAAGTCTTTGACAATGGGGCATTTTTCCGGAAATTGTTTTCAGTCTCTCCTGTGGAAATACCCTTGAATTTTGAAGTTGTTCAGCCTATGGGGTCAGACCAGCTTAGAGCCCTCTTGAGTTTTGGCATCTATATCAATATGAGGCAGTTTACAGTTTATTCCTTGCTTGTGCTGGTTAACATTACAATATATAAAGGAAAAAAAAACATTATTTTTCAGCATGTTCAATGGCAGGGGTCGGCAGGTTTCGTCCTGCAGAGGCCCTATCCATATGGACTTATAGGTCAGGTCACCCCAAATCATCGATTTCTAAAGATTGGGTAAAGTTGTAAGCTATTGATCAATTAAACATGAAATTTGCTCAATTAAGTTCCAGTCCTTGAGGACTCAAGGTTTTTAAGACGTTTGCTCTCAGTGATCTCTAAAGTAGTCTAACAAATCTCCTGGCTAACCGACTGCAGTTAAACCATTTGAAGTATTTAATAGGTAAATACAAAACCTGATGGACTGGAGCTCAACGGAATAAGGACACGAGACCCCTGCTCTGAACTAGTAACCCACAGTGTGCATCCCAACAGGAGACTAAACGTATTCAATGTCAAGATTTGGACAACATTACAATCAGATTAACCTTCCTGCTGGTCTTCTGAATCGTGTAGATTTGCTATTGCTGAATCCCTTTAGGGATACTTCCTCTTGTATGGGATGCTTAAGATGCCACACGCAGCAAAGACACTATTAATCTTGGCCCCTGACTTTCATTTGTATTAGGAACGAAGTCTCCTAGATGAATTGAAATGCATCTATTCTATCTGCAAGCTCAATTTCCTGCTCGATGAGCCCCATTGGCTTCCACAGCATTTAAAGCAGAGAGTCCTCGCCTGTGGCTCCAAAAGCATCCAGGCACTCCAGTGGGCTGCGCTCTTCTCCGAGCACCGCCAACGAGCAGAACACCAGCTGCCTGCAACAAGAAACAGGCGGGCAGCCCGCGTCACTTGATTCTTGCGGAAATGTGTCACGTACACAAAATGAAAAACGCAGAAATTCCAGCAACGGTCTCCAAGCCTGGCCATGGAGATCCCTGATCCAGTTATTCTTAGGTCACCCTAACTGGCCTTTGATTTAAAGAACGAGAACGCTTGTTTAGCCAATTGATCGATGAAGCAAGTGGGCCTGGTAATGTTTTGAATCAAGTAATGATCTGAATGAAGGAGAGGGACACTGGTCTTTGAGGGCTGAAGAATATTCAGATTTTTGTTGCAAATTATCTCTTAATTACTTAATTTAAGATACTGCCTGTTTATCTGATCATATTTGAATTCTTCCAGACCTTTAGAAATTAGTGATTTAAAGGCTACCTATTAAACTGCTGGACTAGGACTCTGAATGACCGGGATTGGAGGCCCCTCTATAAAAGTATATAAAAAACGATACAGTAAATGACAATTCTAAGAAATTGCCACTATTGCCTGATAGAAAGCGATAAGACTGCAGATTTGTACAGGCTGTATCTCAGTGAAAATCTTTCTTGTAATCTCTGTCCACTATGAGTGAATGTTGCGTGACAAAATGCCAGACGACGGGCTTCTGCAGGAAATGGAAGGGTCTGTGTTCTCTTACCTATTAATTTTCATTTTGCGGTTAAAGTAGGTGTCACTCTTCTGTGGAGTGTTGTGGTTGGGAAGGAGCTGGACATTAGTGCCCAGCTCCTTCATTACTTCATAGGCCTGCCCAGCCGGAGCTAGAAAAGAAAAAAAAACACACAGATTAAGGAGATAAAAAATAATTGACGTGCAGCAATGATCAATAGTATCCAAGGGGCTCGTCTTTAGACCTGTTCAGAGTCCAGCAAACCAAATACAGGGATATAACCCTATTCTAACTAAGACTAGTATAGGGTGCCAATATAATTGATTGGCCTAAAAGGTGCAAAGAAATTTGGTATGCACACAGGAAGAACACATTCCCAGGAATGATGATGTTATATACTAGTGAGCTCAAGCAGCTGAAGACCACATCCAGTGGTGCATACAGGCCATGGTGGACAGAAATGTGGGCCCATGTCTGGGAAGGATCATCCCATTTACAGGTACCCAAAATTTCATTGCTCTGTATATCGGTTTTTATTCTGTAATTGTTTCAACTAGCTTCGTGGGCTCTCTGTCGTCCAGCCCATCACAAATGTAATTCCAGCCGGATGTACCACCACAAAAAAAAATCCCTCGCAAGCTCATGTGGAATTCAGCTAATAAAAAACAAACAACACAATCCTAAAGGAAAATGGCCACAGGCCTTCCTTTCTGAAAGGGGAGATCATGTCGAGCAGTGTCAGTGCTTGAGATCGTGCTGTATTTCAAATCATTATAAAAACGCCCCTGCCTTCAATTTCAAAAGGGACATCTGTGGCTCCTGTGTAACTCGCTTCAGTCTCCCCTTTGTTGACGTGGCGTTTGAGGTGGCTAATCATGTCGGTCTTGCGGGCGATGGTAACTGAGCACACGACACAGTGGTAATGAGCTACCAGGCGACTTGACAGCTGAGGAGAAAGAAGTCATCCCATAACTGCAACACCAGCACCCAGACAGATCTTTGGTTAGGTTACATTGCCATGTAAAAAAAAAAAGAAGTTGTTAAATGGTCAGCAGTGTAAAAACTGTCAATAGAAGAAGTCTGTTTCTATTGTTTTTCAGTTGGCTTCATCACCACATTGGTGGTGGTGGAGGGGAGTCCCCATTACCTCTGAAGCGCTTTCAGTGGAGTGTCCAGAAAAGCGTTAAGTAAGTGTAAGGAATTATCTTGGTTGGTCACTATCTCAGTATCTCGGTCTCAATCAGTAGAAGAAGCTGGCCTGCTGTATTGTCTTCAACAGGAACACTACAATAACAGCACAGACGGTGTGCTTAACTAAAACACAGTTAGAACAATGTTTGAAAAGAAAACATCTGTTGGGACAAGACCACACCTGATCTCCGCTGAGGCCTGGCTTGAGCTGTCGGCAAGGAAGATGGCAGATACACATTCGGTGTCCTGCATGAGGACAAGAAGAAAGCCAATACAGTCACTGTTTATTCAGTCACAATGTTAATAACAAAAGCATAGAACATAAAAACACCCATCTGCGTTCAGGAGAAAAGGGTTTCTGTGCAACATTATTCAAAATATTTCTTTTATTCATATGAAAGATATAAATATACTCTTAATTTGAGATATTTCATCAAACACAACAAACAGAAATCCAGTGTTACACATAACCAGAAACCTATGCACTGTTCAAACTTGGAACAGAGACATAAAGTCCATCCTTTATGTATAGAGCTGGCTTCCTCTCGAGTCAGACTCTATTTTGGATACCATCTTAAAAAGGTTTAGAGTATGAAAAGCCTTACCTTCAAACTCTGCATAAACTTTCCAGTGCAGATTCTGTAAATGTCGGCGCAGTTTGTGACTGTAGCAGGCTTTAAATTTCTCTTCAGGGCACAGTGGGCATGCTTTTCTACCAGCTGTAAGATAGAAAAAACTATTTACTCCCCTGTCTTTTATATGAATTCAGAATACCTATGAAGGCCTATGTCTTAATTGTATGGCATTAGGTGATCCTATGTGGATATCAACTATTTAAAAAAAAGATGGAACAGAAGTCAAGACTGAATCTAATCAGGGACATGTGCTGTATGACTTACCTCCATTTAGGTCTACCAGCTTCTCCAGGCCTTCAAATTGAGTATGAATGGAAATATGCTTCTCTGAAACAAATAATCAAAAGATTGTTTTGTCTCCCTTTGCTTAAATTCAATATCCATTTTCTTACAAAGTCTTCCAATTCAGGTTTGGGTGGGGCCAATCCCAGCAAACAACAGGCACAAGGCAGGGTATACCCTGGACAGGACCCCAGTCCATTTCAGGGTGAATACGCGCACACACACTTGTGGCCAGTATTCCCATAAGCTAATTAACCTACCAGTATGTTTTGGGATTGTAAGGGGAAACCGGACCACCTTGGAAAAAAACCCTATGGGAACAGAGAGAGAACATACAAACTCCACACAGACAGCAGCCCAGGTCCAGAATTGAACCCAGGGTCCCAGCAAGGCAGCAATGCTGATCACTGTGCCACTGTGTTGACATTAAATTTACCAGAAAATAAATCAATAATAGAAGTAGGATGATTTTGTCATCGGTTACCGATCCAGTGTAGGACAGAACACCTTCTAGGAAAGCAAAACAGGTAATAATCTTCACCTGTGGAAGTGAGCAGAGTGGAAGTCTTCCCATTGTCTAGGCTTGGCTCAGTTCCGACATTGCTGTTGCTTGTTTCCACCTCACAAACGGCCTCTGCTGCATTGTCTTTGTGTTCGTGCTTTAACTCCTTGGATTTGCAATCATCTGCCTTCGTTTTGCAGTCTCTTGAATCCTCTGCACATAAAAAAAAGTATTCAGTTCCAAACCTTCACTAAGTTTTATTGTTGCACGGCACATCTACCTGTTTATCAGAAAGAGGCTGTAACAGACTTTTTAGTGCTTCCTGTGCCTCTGTTTAGTTATTTTATGTATTTGGCATGCAGACTTTGAGGCAATACATTTTTCAAGGACAAAGGCCAAAGCTGGATTTTCAAGTACTGCAGGAACTGTTGAATCTCTGTTCTGTACTGTATTCAAATTTGCAGATTTTGGAGTACTTTATAGGTAACATACTAAAATATGTCTGGGTTTTTTTTTTTCTCCAGGAAAGAAGGTTGTAGTTTTTTGTTTAGAAATGGTCTTCTATACTAGCATAGCACAAAGGGCGTGAAGTTGCAGAGGAGGGTGTTGGTAAGCCCCTCCCACAATGCAGTGCAGGGTAATAACGATACGCAGGCAAAGCCAGACGCAAGTGTAAGGGATAAATATACCTGGGTTCGTGTCATAATTACTACAACAAACAACCAAAAACATTAAGAAATAGGAAGGCTAAGAGTAGCAGTTATTTAATGACTGTGAAAAACTGCCAAAGAAACAACTTTTACTTATTATAATCCAACACTAGAGTACTGTAAACACATAACACATAAACACATAAACAAATGTTTTAAATTAAATGTTCTTTTACCAAAATCTACTCAGCGGAAAAAAAAAGATAAATATTTGGTGGGGAGAAGAGGTAATATATTAAAAGGGCGAGTCAATATATTAGAGTATACTGTTAGCGTAATACCACAACAATACGGTCCTGTTGCAGAGCTCCGTGTCTAGACCATGATTGAAGCTGATTAATCACAACTACTTTTTTTAAAGTAAAAATAACATTAAATAAACGAGATTAAATTGTAAATGTTTTACAGTTCATGGTTATCACAAATATATTTTAGACCGCGACTAGGGTCCTCGAAATTTCGTTTATTTATTAGTGGGTCCTGTGGCGGAGCTCCGTGATGAGGCCCTCTGTTATTTTGGCTAATAAAAAAAGTCGAACAAAAATAGAAACACTTCTGGGTCACATGCAGAATCAAAGGAGAATCTTAAATTACATCAGATATCTTTTACTAAGTATTAAATATTTTTATAAAGTTGTGTTTTCTTACCCTTTTTAGGAACGTCCTCCTGGTGTTGTTGCGAATTGTCTCCTTCCTTCTTTTCCGCCATTTTACTAAAGTAACGTAAACAGCGTACGAGTTTTATTCTGTACTGTTTCTGCGTTGATATCCTGGACAGCCTTGTGGTCATCCAGTCTACTTTTAGTATTTAGAAGAAGGTTATTATTAATAATTATTAGTATTATAAAACAATATTAAATTGCTTAAAATACAAGATTAAAATGTAAACAGCCAAATGTCCCTTAGTTTTACATTAAAGTTGTGTTACATACTGTTCTTATTTTACCACACTTAGATGTCTGAAATGTATGTAATTCAGATGTTTCTGTTTTGTATTATACCTGTAAACCTCAAATTTCAGTCAAATAATGCTTCTCAGTCGTAATTTCTATTTTCTGTTCCGTTATATACACAAACAAAACTACATTTCCCATAAGCCATTGCAATACTACGCTCTCTCCGGTGTGTAAACGGAAGTTTGGTATTGCAGTCGGGTTGGTTTCAGTAAGTCTCGAATGAAATGTTAACAGATAAAAATGGAAGGTTTTGCACTTGTTATATGAAAACATTATGTATTTCCTTTTAAATAGCATAAAATGTATACTGTATAGTGAAGTAAGGTAAATGTACACAGTTCAAAATCCAAAGACGTGTGGGATACACTGGTGCTTAGACTGAAAAAGTAGTTTAACGTTACAAGGTAAAACATACTACCAACCTGACACATTAGATTTCGAGAAGCACATATGTTCAGGAGATTTAATATTTTCTTAAGGTTGTTGGAGGGTGGATAACGCTGTTTTTTTTTTGCTTGAGCAGTAACGCAATGCGATATTTACTTTTTTCTGTATTTTCGCTGTTTCAGGTTACTCAGACGTTTTATCCTGTTTCACTTAAAACTATTTGCAGTTTGCAGGCACCTGATAAATCTCTGTATTCACCCATGTCTCCATCATAAGTTACGACAATCAGTCGGATTTCTCTAAGAGGTCTCTAATGATGTGTGGGTAATCACAGTAAGTAATTTGCATGCATCTTTTGAAAATAAGAGTTAAGAATGAACTACTGTATATGTTATTTCTGATCCCGATGCAACACATGCCCAGGCATAGAAAAAATTATTTTAAAGCACTTTTTGTTCTTGTCAGTGTTGTCACCCGTCAGCTGGGGTCAAATCAATTACTGTTAGTTATATAAAAGATTAGTTTTAAATAAAATGTAAGCAACTATTCTAAATGCAGAAAGTTAAATAGCTGTATTAATGTGTAAGAATGGGTGGCACGGTTATGTACTGGTTAGCATTGCTGTCTCGCAGAACTGGGGCCCTGGCTACAACTCCTGGGGTGGTATTGTTTGTGTTTGTGCAGTGTGTTCTCCCTGTGTTTACTTGGGTTTACTTGGGTCCCTAGGTGTGAGTGTCTCTGTGTTTGCTGTGCGATGGACTGGCGACCTGCCCAAGGTGTGCTCTGCCTTGCATCTTATTTGCCCCACAACTCTGAATTGAAAGGAGCAGTTAGAAAATGGATGGATGTCTAAGAATGACTGTTAATTAATATGTATATATTAGTATTTTACTGCAGCATGAGTTACGAGTTGCAAATGATCTGCTTACAAGACATCCTGTTTTGAGTTACAGATCTATGGAGTGCAAGGAACTTTGCTCTTGGATACTAATGTCAAGGAAATATTGGACACAGCATTGTTCTGCAAAGCATTTGTGGAGTAGCATGTGGGTGATATACAGTAGTGAGTAAGCAAAGATTGCATCTCATTGCATGTGCATGTTGTGCAGGAAAATGCCAAAGAAGAAGTCAAAGAAGAAGAAGCAGAAAAAGGAGAAAGGAAGAAAGAAGTCTTCTTCGTCCTCCGATGATGAGGTGAGGAGATTTGTTGGTCAGGTGTCAGCAGATTGGCGTGAAAAGCTATTGTAATGGTATTTTGCAGTCTGATCGTTTCCATGTGGTTTATTGTGTTTACCTGGGGACACTAGGTTAAAAGAAACTGAAAAACCATAGTGGGATTCTTTCTCAGCTTTGACTCTCTAACAAAAGTAAATTTTATTTACAATTTTGCAGACGTCATGGAAAGAAGAATATACTAAAAAAAGAAAGATCTCCAAGACCTGTGATATACGTGGTGTGAGGTAAGCATTTATAAATTTTTTTTAGTACAACCTAGAAATCCAATACATTGATTTTATATGCTAAGTTTATAGATATCTTTTAAAGAGGAGTATTCTATGGAAAATGGTTTCTTGGTTTTTAACATTGTTTTCTGTGCTTCTGCATTGTTTCATGGACAGCTGATTTTATTAAAATATATATGTTTAGTTTTTTAATTTTTAAATGCTTTACTGCTGTTCTAACAGTCTTGTGTGGTGAATACATATATAGGCACATGTCGTAAGGGTGCAGTTTTGCCAAAAAGAAAAATCCTTTGTGCTAAATTTTATGCTAAATCTGGCCATTTAATGAAGATATCATTCCTCTTATCTCCACACAAAAATGTACACCACTGGGGCAAGTAGACAACATAGGTTCTGAAGGAAGTTCTCTTAAGAGTGCAGTTTTCTAACTTTAAAAATATTCTGTCTCGCTGCTTGTAGTTCTGAACAAAAGGATGTCTGGAGGAAGGAACAGGCAGCTTCTTTCCACACAGGGGAAACCCTACCCACCCACAGTGGCAAAAAAGAAGATAGGGAGTTTAGGAGAGCCTACCGAAAGCAGGACGCTGTCACATCATGGGGAAAAAGCGCAAACACTGGGGAGGTTCTGAAAATACCCTCCAGCACAGGCACTGCCCACAGCCAGGTCTACAGTGGCACTGGCAGACTAGAAGAGACCAACAGCAGAAAAAAGCCATTGTCTAGAGGACAATCTACAGAAAAGCCCTTCTCTGAGAAACATCGGGAGGATGGAGGGAAACTTGCAAGGACCAGTGCAAAATTATCCCCAAAGGATACTGCGTATTCCAAAAGTGACCCCTCTTCTCCTCAGGGACAAAGTAGCAGCACCAAAGGGCTCCCAGAAAACCAAGAAGAAGGACTTGCTACTTTACACAAAACTAGTAGGTGCAAAACACACTCAGGACTGCTGAAGAGAATTTCCCAGGAAAGCTCTGAGGGTTCTCTAAGCAGCCCAAGAGAGAAGCCCCCTAGCAGTTTTACTAGTTTCAAAATCCGGAAAAAAAGCAGTAGATTAGATGCTACTAGCGAGACCTGGAAAAGGTCTTCATTGGGTGGGCATAATGTCACTTCCCCGAGGCTGGAAAAGCAGCCCCTTTCAGGAGTGAAACTTTCTCCGCTTTCTCCTACAAAGCTGTTGAAAAAAATTAAAGGGAGTAAAATTGCTGCAGCACTCAAGGCTAAGGATCTGCGTAGAGACTGCAGGCCCTCCACGCAAACGTCTCGGAATACAGATGAGGCCACTTCTTCAGGATCCCACTCATCCAGAATCTCAAGGCCGACAGCCAGCCTCAGGGAGAAGGCGGAGTGCTTAGCTACAGAGGGGGTAAGGGGAGAGACAGTTACTCACAGTGGGACATGGTCGTCATTTAGCAAGGTGTGTTGCCTTTACAAATAACTTATAACTGCTTCGAATTGTCATGGATATACCAGAAATGTATGCTAGTACTCAGTAATTGTACTGAAAATGCAGACGTTCTGTTCTCTGCATTTTATTACCTGCATATAGTATTTTTGATCAGTTAATTATACATTTTAATAACTCTAATATCATGCCTTCCCACGTAAGTGTCCCTTACCACGTACAATCCTAAAAAGGGTTGAATGCATATGAATTCCTTTTTCCGGACACTTGACTGCATGTGGTTATCTAGGTATAAATTCCATTGATTGTCATTTCTCTTTTCTGCCTGGATTTCTCCTAATTAATTCTTAATGGGTTACTCGGGAATATAAAATGATCACATTCATACAGTTGCTCTATGTAATTCCGGTAAAAACAAAATTAAAAAGCACCCTTCATCTCTGTTCCTTTCAGACCTTTTGTTTTGCACCATAAGAACAGCGGGGCGTGAGTAGTAAGATGCTTATCTGTGTCCTGAGGTTTCTTATGTCTTTGTACTCTTTTTTTTTATACCAGTATGCCGACATTCCAAGCCGCTCATCTCAAACACCAGACAACCATGACAATGACCAAGAGGTACGGAATTCTTTTAAACTGTGATTCATCCTTTTTAACTAAATACAGCTTATAAACTGTGCCTTGTCTTAACAAATGAAATGGGGGCATTTCCGTAGCCCGTAGTCATTTTATTTGCCGAGATTTGTTTTTTCTTTCAATAGAATCAACTTGCATTTAAAACCAGCTCTTTAAATTTAATTGCGGCTATCTCCCGCTACTATAGTAGTTCTCAACATTGTCATCTTGAGTTTCTCTTCTTCAAGCAGCAGCTATCAAACATAACAGCGACAAGGCGGTGGAGGGGGTATGATGAGGTGGCTCCCCTTGAATGAGTATTGTTTTTTTCCTTCCAGAGCTTGTCCTCAAAGAATTTTGCATTTCTCTTTACTGTTAGTGAATCAGCCCAGCATCCATTCATCATGAACAGCATGGAAATGGGCAAGTTAGAGTTTATTACTGACCACCAATGTGCAGCATCCACCTGGATGATGCGACGGCAGCCATAGTGTGACAGAACGCTCACCACACATCAGCTAAGGCCACATATGGCCAGCAGCCATATCACCCTGCAACTCACAACTGGCAACCCACTGAAGCTCAGCAGGTGTGAGCCTGGTCAGTACCTGGATAGGAGACGTCCTGGGAAAAACTAAGGTTGCTGCTGGAAGAGGTGTTAGTGAGGCCAGCAGGGGGCACTCACCCTGTGGTCCATGTGGGTCCTAATGCCCCAGTATAGTGACGGGGACACTATACTGTAAACAGGCGCCGTCCTTCGGATGAGACGTAAAACCGAGGTCCTGACTCTCTGTGGTCATTAAAAATCCCAGGGCGCTTCTCGAAAAGAGTAGGGGTGTAACCCCGGTGTCCTGGCCAAATTTCCCATTGGCCTTTACCAATCATGGCCTCCTAATAATCCTCCTCTATGAATTGGCTACATTACTCTGCTCTCCTCCCCACTGAGAGCTGGTGTGTGGTGAGCGTTCTGGCGCACTATGGCTGCCGTCGCATCATTGGTGGCGGTGGAGGGGAGTCCCCATTACCTGTAAAGCGCTTTGAGTGGAGCGGTGTAAGCAATTATTATTATTATTATTATTATTATTATTATTATTATTATTATTATTATTAAAGAGTAACTGCCCCTCAATTTTTATAATACATGCTTAGAAAAAAATCAGCATTGGATGAGTGCATTTCAAACCACAATGAAAGTAAAATGCACAAAGTAACATGTAAAACCTCCAATTTCAATCACAAAATTCCCAGGTATGCACAGAATGAGATTCAGAATAAGGCGACAAAATCTGGTGAAGTGAAGAGGCCTTGTTACACTGGACATCTCGTTTAATCCAGTAGAAAAATTGCTCTCGACTTTGAGACGGTTTTGCAGACAAATACAACTTACTTGTTCCTCTGCATGCGGATCACATTGAAACATTTCTGCAGTGAAACGTCTGCTTCAAAACCTGTCCTTATTCGCTTGTATGTCACATTCCATTAGTCGTTACAGTGACTAGTGAGCAGGAAGGGTCACGTCACAGTTCTCGCAAACTCCTTGATAACTTTGCGACTACACAGTACTTTCACAAAGTTCACGATTTTGTGCTTAAGTCGGAAGTTGTGAAATGTTGCGAATTTGTACCGTCAATTTATTTTGTTGCTGAGATGTAATAACCAGTCTGAGAATTTGGGACTGCAGTTCCACTTTAAACACTACTGTCAGTAGGCAGGGGATTATATATCGGGGGAAGAGGGCCAGCTGGGGATGGACATGGGTAGGCCTGCAGCTAAAGACAAGGCACTTTAGCGGCAAGGCTTTCATGTGCCACTATAGGTACACTCACCCCAGGTTTCCATCCACTGATGTGGTAATCGCCTGTCCCCCGAGTACAGGATAAATCTTGCAGCCTGGAGATCACCAGACAAAATGGGCTCCTGCAGTGGAGCCCATCTGCTAGGTCTTTGCAAGGAGGAGTCATGCAGGACTGGATATTGTGAGAGAAGCTGGTTCTGGCTATAGCGCCAGCACAGCTGGTCTGACTCTGATTGCATGTATTATAGGTCTCTCTCATTCCAGAACGACCTCTGTTCCATGGCAGAGGTACTCATGATACCCCCTGAATTCACCAGTAACCCCCGCAGCAGCAGAAAGCCCTTTTTTCTGAATGCTACTTGAGGCAGTGATTTCTGTCGCCCGTCCTCTGGTCTCTGGTCATTTGCAGATGCACCTGGTGGAGGAGCTCCACCTGGCTCGCTCAGAGAGGCTACTGGCTGGGGATGTGGTGGAGAGCTATGGGGAGCTGACCTGCATGGAAATTGATCCCCCCGAGGAAGAGAGCGTATTTTCTTTCCGTAAGTTGAGCTCTCCAGCCTTGTACATGCACTAAGGGTGTCCTTCCCGGAACACAGATTAAAGATTTATACTTACATTGTTGGTCTGTTCACACCAACATTTTGCAAAGCTCTCCACAATAATGCTATATTCTCAGCTGCAGTTGCCCTTTGCATCAATAGATTAGTGCCGGATCCTTGAGACAGAATTCCTTATAAGCATTGAAAAAATCTGTAATAGTGTCCTGTAGGAGCCAAGTTCACTAATTTGTGTTTTCCCATCAGATTCTCATAATTTTCATTCACTGAACCAATAAAATAAGGTACTTGCATTTTTACATTTACAGTATGTGACATAACGAAACGTTATTTGTGCATGGAAGTATGACCTATATAAATAAACAAAGGTTATTCATGCATAGAGGTATGACCAGTTGTTTGAAATTTGCTGGGTTGCTGCTCCAGTTGCTGGGTTGTTTGTTTGATTTTTTTGTTTTTATATTGATGGCTGACAGATAATGTACTTACTGTAGTTGTCAGGTGAAACACTTGCAAAAATAGTACGCAAGTTGTTTTTTTTTCACACAGATCATCAGTCCCAGTGTCAGACCTGCAATTCTCTAGTATCTCTTGTTGTCTCATGTCCAGTGTGAAAGTAGGCAGCAGAAATAGGGGTTATTTTCCCCTCTTCCCATGTCATGTGGGGTGTGAACAGGGCTTAACTCTGTTGCCCAGTAATGAGTATGCCCCTGTATTTACATGACAATCTTCAAAACATCTAAATAGATTGAAATTTTGTTCAGCCTACAAAGTGATAGATTAGATGTTTAGTGCAATGGTACAATAGCCCAGTTTAAAATGTGAAACTCTTATTTTCTTAAATTCTGCAGGTAAGGAAAACCGGCATCAGGACCTGATCATCATTCTGGATACCAACATTCTGCTCAGTCACCTTGAGTTTGTCAAGAAGATAAAAGCATGTGGCCTCGGAGGTTTGTCAGATTGTAATTTGATGGATGCTGTCAATATGTAAGCCTAATGTATTTTCTTTTAAAGTTCCATAAACATTCATAAGATTTCTTCTCGCTGTCTGTCTGATCTTTTCCAGTTTTTGGTTTCCCCAACATTCTCATTCCCTGGGTGGTGCTACAGGAACTGGATTCGTTGAAGAATGGAAAGTTTTCAAACCATGTGGTAAATAAGGCCATACCTGCCGTGAACTTCATCTACACCTGCCTGAAAAGCCAGGAGCCTCGGTTCTGGGGACAGTCGATGCAGCAGGCGTCTCAGAAAATATGTGAGTGTCCACATGTTTGACCCAAATCCCATTGCTGAGACTTCTCTTGAGCCCCATAACAATGTAACGTTCTGATTGTTTATGTCATGTATAAAGTACTTTGTCTTCGTATCAGTAAAGTGTAATTCTGGATCTGTAATGTTCGATGCTTCTCTCAATTTTCGGGATCATATAAAAAATATCTTGAAGTACTCATATTTCATACGCAAAAATCTCCTGGCTAAGGTTTTTCTCATTTTGGTAGACGCTGAAAAGTTAATTCATCCTCTTTTAACTTTATCTTTTAATATGAAGCACATAACGATTCTCTGTAATGAAATGTTCTTCATAAATTAAATGTTTATGTAACATACTGTATGAACATAAATTATTAAATATATTGATTATTCCTGGCACCAACCAGCAGATGGCACTAGGAACAAGCTAAGCATCATCTTTATTTTACGCTAGAAGGTATTCCAGTGGTGAATTGTTTAAAATTTAAAAAAGCAATAACTGCAATGGTCTCATTTCCTTATTTTTTTATTTTTTGTTTTAATTTCTGGGATAATATAAGATGAAGGCCAAGTGTTTAGTTTGTGGAAGCAAAATCAGGTTGTGAAGCATTGAAAGGCTTTTGTTCTGCTCAGTCAGCTTGATCGGATTTGTCATCCTGAGCCCTCTGTGTATTTGTGTATCAGCAGTGGCTTTATTGAAGGGATCACCTGGGATTTTAAAGCAAAAAGTATGGCCACAATTTGAGATTTTTGTTTTGAAGTGTAGTTAGTTTTCCATCATCTTATCTTCCTCGTTTTCGGTTTATTTTAGGCAGAGCTCTCAACATAGAATAGGCTAAGGTAATAAATAAAATAACAATGCAGTGTATTTTTCCCTTATATTGATCGTGAAAACATTATAGAAGTTACTTGGCATGCTGTTAGTCCTCCCCTTTCTTTGCCATAGCTCAGTGGCATCAAACAAGTGAGCTGATTGTGTAAAGTCTTGTATTAAAAAGTTGCTTTTAAATGAACTGTGTGTTTCTGGCTGTGCAAAGACTGTAAAAAAAGATCTAAGTTGGCACAAAGGGAGCACTTTGTCTCATGAGTTATAAAATTCAACACCACCTACGATGATGGACGTTTCTCTAAAAGGGGTGGCACATGAACTCAATTAAGAAAACGTCTGCCCTCCGAGACAATTTTAATGTAAGACAGTAGCTGTCTGCTTCTCAGGAGCAGCCCGACAAGCCTGCATGTCCGTTTGTCACAGTAGTGCTCTGTTAAGAAGATGAATTCCTGTACTGGACAGTGGAGGTTACACGAGTGCTAATTAAAAAAGCACAATTTTCTCCTGGCTTGGTTTGTCATGCAGGTGGCCTGAGTGCCGAGAACAACGATGATCGCGTGCTGCATTGCTGTGTGCAGTACCAGAGCCTGTTCCCGGGAGTGCCTGTGATCTTATGCACGTGAGTGAGGTTCTCTCTCTCTCTGTCCCTGTGGGTGGGCCAGGTGAGATGCTGGGGCAACTCTTTCTAAAATGCATTTCGAGGTGTCAGCAAACCACAGCTTCTTATTCCCTTGTGGAGAGGATTACTGATCATCAGTCCAGATTGTTAAGAAAAATAATTTTCTATGTCATGTTTATTTTTTGTTACTTGATAATCTTAATAATCTTGTATTTACCTGTTATGATAATTTGACCTTTAAAGATGCTAAACACATACACTTGCAGCCTAATATTTTATTGGGAGGAATATTTGTTTACAGTTTTTGCTGGATATGAACCCTGCTTTATTTGAGTCATCATTGAATTATTTTATTTTCACCACTGAACATTTGTCACTTTCCAATTTTTAAAAGCCAGTCGTTCTTTTTCTGCTAGAAATATAGGAACTCAAGGAACTACTTCTCTTCATATTTACCTCATATAGAGTTTGGACCTTTCCCGAGAAATGTTTTTGCCTCATTTCGTGATTTATATTGAGTGGTTTTATGTAGAATGAAAATATACTGTAGTTTAGACTAAAACATGAAGAGGCTGGTTCTCATTTGTTAAGGGCAGCTGGATTTAGTAAATGCCTTTCAGGCTAGAAAAGTGATTTTCAGTAAAGGGGGTCTTTCCAAATGTGTTCTGACACTTTCTACAGGGAACTCCATACAGTACAGTATGTACGGCATCGCTACTTAGCTCCAGCCACGCCTCCACTGTGAGTACAGTAACAGGGAGGGTCTTTCTCCGAACTCTATCAGTATAATTGTATTTAAACCAGACCGGCAGGTTTTGGTTTTCTTCCAGGTTTATGACTAGGTCAATCATTAAAAAAAAAGACTTCAGTTATTTCACAGGGAATAACTAAACTTGGCTGCATTTTGACCTCCTTGTTTTTCTGATCAACCGTGGTCTTTTTTTCCCCATTCTTACCACCATATGCATTATTATGACTACCTCCTACTTTTTTTTTGTTTCTCCTCACCCCCTTGCAGAAATGACAAGAATCTGTGCAGTAAAGCACTGCTAAGCGGTGTGAAAGCTGTAAGCAAAGCAGACCTTGTTTCTGAAGCTGATAAGCTGAAATCTGAGGCTGATACACTCTGGCACCAGTCTCTCCCGCCCACGTGGCACCCACAGACAGGTACAGATTTGCAGCACATTTAATTGCATGTACTGTAGAAACAACAGTGGATCTTTGGGAATTAAAAAAAAAAAAACTTCCTGCAGTCTAAACAGGATATGATACAGTGGCAAAAATCAGGCTTGTCCTAAATGTTGCATTGCAGATCTTAAAGGAAGAATCTGGTTATTAAGCCTTCCAAAAAGCCATTAGCCACTATCCAGGCTTCAGTTTGTAAAGTGACCCAAGACATATTCATTGTAATATACTGTATCATCCATTACTGTTTTTATCTTCATTCTGATTTAGCTTACACAAAGGTGAATGACAAAAAATGAGAGATCGCTTTAAAGATACTTTGTGTAAGATGTTTAGAAGGGATAATGTAAAAAAAATAATTTTAAGGTTTAGCCTAGATTGCCTTTTCTTTTGCAAATGTCTCTTTTTATGTCTCTTGCTCTGAAATGTAATTAAGAAATAAAAAATGTTTGGCATTGTGACACTATTGACCAGCATATTGCGTTCCCGTTGAAGAGCTGGACCCAAACAGCAGAGTGACAGAGGAAAAGGCGAGAGAAGCAACAGTCTCAGGGAGTGCTCTGGCGAGCTCTGTCTCTGCCATCGAGGGAGTCCTGAGGGGGGCGCTGTGTGCGATTTTGGAGGCAGAGATGAAGGAGGCATTTGGTGATCTTTGGCTAGAGGTAAACCACCCATACTTTCTGCAATTTCGGGAGAAGTAGATTTAGAAACAAATACGTGGTTTGGATTAAGTGTAGACAGGTTGTCCTGTTAGTGCAAGGGTAGTCAGCAGCTATATCACCTGCAGCTCCTGTAAACCTCTTTGAGTGGATTGTCTAGAAAAGCCCTTTATAAGTGTAAGGAATTAGTAGTAGTATTACAGGCCTAGATGTTATAGTTATGGCTCTGGTTATGCAAGGGTCAGTCTCTAGTTTCTAGGGGCGGAGCAGTGGCTCTGTGGCTAAGGATCTGCGCCTGTGGCTGTAAGTTTGCCAGTTCGAATCCCGCGGCTGGCAGGAGGAATCCGACTCCATTGGGCCCCTGAGCAAGGCCCTTAACCCCAGCTGCTCCAGGAGCGCCGTATAAATGGCTGACCCTGCGTTCTGACCCCAGGCTTGTCTCTCCCTGTCTGTGTGTCTCATGGAGAGCAAGCTGGGGTATGGGGAAAAAGACAAATTCCTGATGCAAGAAATTGTATAGGGCTTATAAAGTGATCTTATCTTATCTAGTTATGTTCAGAGATAAGGTTAAAGGTGTTGATTAACCTCCCAAAGAATTGAAGAAAGCCCAGACAGCCACCAAACAGGGAATGTCAGAATTTATAATTATATGTCCAGTCTCAGAATTTCTTAAGATAGGAAATTATAATGCCAGTGTGTTCTAACCTTTCTTAAATATGAAGAATGTATATTTAAGTAATGACTTAATTTCTATTTTGCTGCAGACCTTTCAGTGTATAATTATTACCTTTGAGTATTTCCATGCCTTTAGATTGTGTATATAAAGCCTCCTTGGTCCCTGAGTGACTTACTGCAGTGCTTTAAGAAACACTGGATTGCTGTGTTTGGAAGTATTGTCAGCAGGAATCTTCTTCACTCTGTTGAATTCCTCAGCGACAGCCTTTGTAAAGGTAAATGTGATATAATGAACTAAGATACCCAAAACAATCTGCTGAGGTTTTTTAAATGTTTTAAATGCCAGGTAAGTTTCACTGTTACCAGGAATGTTAATATGATTCAGTACGCCAAGCAAAGTACTTCACAAAGTATTACACTCTTTGAAGAATGGACAGATACGAGAACTTTTTCAGTAAATGAGCAATATATTTTTGAACTGGCTGCATGAATCCATTTTCAGTTACTTGCATTTCCAAGAATAAAAATAAAAAAACATTGTAGTCATTTGCGATTCACAATGTAAATGAATGTTATTCCATAACATGGTGGTTGGTGTGGGAGACTAAAATCTCCATGGCATTGTTATGATATTGTCTCAAAACATCTAACAGACTGGGACTGTCTGTGTACACTCATGTGTAAGGAACTATGACCCTAACGAGCATGTTTTCACAAGTGATAAACTAGACTGGCTTCAAGATTGCACAACCTGGTTTCCTGTTGCTTTCTGTGCCTTTTAAAAAGTGCAGGTACTGCAAAATACTTATTATTTTTCAAAATGTATTTTCCATAGTTTAAATACATTCTGTGTGGTTCATTACTGTTTTAACTTTGTATTTACGGCACATCTGTGTCTTTCATTTTAACCAAGTTGTAGTTGTAGTACATTTTGGTACATAAAATATAATTCTTTCTGATTATTTCATATTATGAATAATCTGATATCACCTTAGTATAAATTTGCGATGCAGTGCTAATTGTAGTAGAAAAAGTTGCTCAAGCACAAGAAAAAAAATCTGTTTTAATATTGCTCTTTAAAATGGAGAGTTTTGTAGAGAACTGTGCATTTCCATTCAAAGGCATGCATTACAATTTCAGATATATGGCATTAACATGTCCTTCCTCTTCAGGTAGAACAGTTGATAGTTGTTCCATGAAGCAGGTGGTGCAAGAAGCCCATGCTCTGTTGCACGGTTTCAGTTCCAGATCAGGCTATAATAGCGTTCTCCTTGAAGCTGTTGCTGCCCTGAAACAGCTGCAGCCAGACACTTCTCAGGTATGACTGGGGCCCTTAGTGCATCTCCTGGTTACATATCCTTCTCCTTCAACACATTTTACTTGCAGGTGCTGTAGAGCTACTGAGAGCAAAGTCTGTCTCTTTAAGTTCCCCTTTAGTACATAATACTTCTAGGTCACAATTCCTGCTCATGCATGGACACCTCTATTAATATTTCCCTCTTTGAATCCTGTCTGGAGGGCTTTAGAAATCCATAGACACAATCCCTGTACTATTAATCTCTAGTTGCATAGCTATTTCCACTTTCTACATATTCCTTCTAGATGCAGATCAGCAAAGAATACTTTAGGTCCAGAAACTAATATTAACAAAATTCTGTTTTTCTTTTAAAATGGTTGCAAATGGCGTGTCTTATAGCAGTTGGTGCAGATCTGTTGAAAGACTTGTGCTGAATTGTGTTTGGGGATCACAGCCCGACTGCAGAGCTCAAGGGGAGGAGGGCCTTGTGGATTCTGCCCAAGGAGGGAATGGAACGAGGAGCCTGCAGCCAGGTGACACTGAGACCCTCATGGCAGTAGAGCACAGTTTGTCGGAGCCACACTCTTCTCATGCTGATATCTGGGCTGTTTTTGAGAACATCTGGATCAATGCGTGTCAGATCAGGTAAATGGGCATATTGTTGCAAAAGGCAACAAAACAACATTGCTTTCTTCCATTACTTATTTCAGTATAGTGCAAATATCAAAGTTTTTATTTATGCGGCACCTTGATTTTGTCCAATGTATTTCCTCTCTCAGAGGTATTTCACATCCTTCCTACAAGCTACCATCTACTGCAACAATAAACCCTCCTCCATGAATCTGCTATTTTAGTGCTTTAAAAAAAAATTAAATGTAAGAAATGGAACCAAAAAATGGGATCTCACAAGAAAGAAAAAAAATGAGGAAAGAGGGTCAAATCAGACAGGTTCTGTCAGTTTTTTCACTATCAAAATTATTACGAATTGATCTTGAGATCGTGGTTAGTGAGAAGGAGCAGTAAAGGACTCAGCCACACTGTCACACCAGTGACATCTTGAAGCACATTAGTCCCTAACACCCAAATCATGTAGCTAGCTACTGCATATGGCCTTCATATGCTAGAGAATATCATAAAAAAACCTGCATAGGCAACTGGAGTGAAAATAATCTTCTGAGAAAAGTTATTTGTCAAGATCTGTTTTATTTTATTTTCTCTAAATTTCAGCTCTGCGGTCTTAGGAGCCCTCCAGGTTCCTCTGGATCCTCAGGGGACAGGAGGGCCTGGAGAGAAACTGGCCTCTCCTGATGAGGCTTTCTCCTGCCTGCAGAAACTCCTGGCTGCCGTGAAAGGGCTGCTGGATTCCTTCCAGAGGTAAAGGAAGAGGGGATTGCTATTAGCCAGTATTTACTTTACTTGCTTTGACCCACATTGGTACCTGACCTTTTTTTGCACACACTAAGCTTCTTTCCAGAGTGCTTAAGTGATTCTATAACCTAGGTTAGTTCCCAAATTGCAAAGGGTCTGTCCAAGTGATTTGTTGGTTCAGTTAAGGATTTATTCCCATAAAGTTTAGATGCAATGAAAACTGCTGGTGTGTTAGACCCCATGAAAAGAAGTCGAAACTAATAGTGCAGGTAATTGGTTCTAAAGTCGAGCAGTGCAGCAAGTTTACTATTAAGCATTATCACAGGGAGGTGTACAACTGGGTGCTGGAGTTTAATTAGCTTGAAATTAAACTCTAGTATTTGGCTAGAAATTCTAGCCATTATTTTTTTGCATTTCTTTCCTTGTCTTCTTATATGTACTTATTTTGTAATTTGCTATCCTTTTTTGTATTGACCATGATAGTCCACATATTTCGACATATGTCTTTAGTCAGTATTTTTAACAATCAAGTGCTTTTTTGGGTAGCAAAGCTAGGGAAGAATATACTTATTTAGGTCAGGTTTTGAGGCTCTAAGATACAGGTACATACTGCACAGGGCACATGTAGAACTGCACCTTGGTTGCACATCAGTTCATTGCAGGGCAGTTTTTAATACTTAAATATTGCCAATTATCCACAATAAATACCAAGAAGATGCTTTTGGAGGGGGAGGCTCTAGTTTTTTGTCATCATTTTTCCATTTACATCTTATAATATCATAGTTTATGGGTAAATAACAGGATAAGCTTTTCTATGTTGTCTCCCTTGTGTTCAAAATAAGGTTATTTTGTTTATACACTGTCTGAAGTGGACATTTGAAGACTGTTTTAATATGTAAACTTACCTCTACAGGGCTGGAGGGCTCTGGTTTGGTGTTTTGTCTGGTCAGTGTGTGATACGGTCGCTAAGTACTTGTGAAACTGAAGTTTTTTTTAACTACTTTTGTTCAGTTTAGCAAAGCTTGCTTCTCCTGTGTTCCTCTCATTGGTTTACTGGTGATTGGATTTTTGTATTTTCCAGTTAGAATCATTCTTTTATGTCTATATTGAAGGGGAAAAGGCATGAAATTATTATCTTCTGGCTTTTGTGTGTTAAAATATTTATAAATCTTCCAAGATATATGGTAGGTTGCTTGGGAAATTTAGCCACTTTCGTTTTCATTTTCTAGGAATTGCTATCTTAGATCAATCATGCCCTCAGTAATTTAATGTTGAGCTTCCTGCTTTTCCTTCTTAGAAATACAGATCTGATTTTGTGTTTTTCTCTCTGTTTGGAGTTAAAACTGCTACTGTATTGTGATAATTTTCCAATGTGGCACACGTTGGAAATAAAGTATTATGTCTGGAATTGCCTAAAATCCAGCAAAGCACATGTAATCCAGTCCAGCAGCTACCGAGTAATTTCTGTTCATCCTCCAAAAATCTGTAATTCAGTATTTGTTTGTATTTTCCAACCTTTCTGAAAAATGACACATTCAGTATTTGTTTGTATTTTCCAACCTTTCTGAAAAATGACACAGGCTATTTCTGCAGTGAGAAAAGACTCGCTCAACAGTAAATGTTCATTACTGACAGGTCATGTGCAGTGCAAACAAAGCAGGCCCGCATGACTGCACCGCTAATCGAATCACTACTTTTTATGAAAGTATGGCAAACATTATCATTATATTCGGGTTTTCCAGAAGGCACAATTGCCTGCTTAACTGAAGAAGTACTTTGTTTTGTTTAAGACTTTGTTGTAACCTGCAGTAGTTTATTTGTACCATGGCACTTAATCCTCGATATAAAGGAATAAAATAAAACAGATTAGAACTTTTGCAAGGAATATTTAGACATTTTAATCTTCTGTTTGTTTGGCAGAAGTTCTTATTAGCAGTAAGTTCAGAAATCAATATCTGCTGTATGTCTGGTTTGTCAATATTTTTTTCCTATTTTGCCTATGGGACTAAGATCAAGCCTTTTTTTGTGATCACCACATTATAAAAGATCTATTTTGGCCTTATATGTGTTAAGGTTTTTAACACAAATGCCAAACACATTTTGTATGATTCTTGAAATTCATAAAGCCATCCTCCCTTTATAACTGGAGTGGAAAGCTGAAGACGTAGAAAAAAGTCCTCCACCATTCAGCACCATACAAATGGCACAGCTACTGAATCTTACTCACATACAGCAAAGACATCTGCTGATAGAAAATGAAAAAATATTGCAGAATGTTCCATCCATCGTTGCCCAGCCTCAGAAGTGATCGATAGGTATCTTCAGAAGAGACAAAAACTGTGACAAAAACAGGAGTCAGTGCTTTTCCCTGTGGGTTCGCTTTTTTTTTGGAGCTGCACTTTATCTGCTTTCCTTTGGTTTGGTATGCAAACACATATGTATAATATTTTTATGTGAATCTTTCAAAACAAGGGGCACGCATTAAGCAAAGCATCCACTCATTTGAATACAAATGATTGGGCAATTTGTTGCATTCAATGAATTTCTTTTGTCTAGTGTAAAATATAAATGGAGAGGAAGCTGTCATTTCAAACCCTTTTTTAATGTCATTCCTTATTTATTTTACTTTGAAATATGTTGAATGTGTTACTTTTTCTGTAGTGTCCACCATTGTGTGCCGCAAAGCCAACATAAAATATCCTTTGTTACGAAGTATGGAATGTTTAGATTCATCGAGAAATGATTTGCTTTGCCAGGGAGTTTGAACTCCCCCACACTTGACAACAGATGTGACAGCTTTGTGGAAAACCCTTGTGGATTAAAACAGACAAAAGGCAAGTGTCACTGCACATTTGAACCTGTAAAATCACAACAAAACTTAACGGAATTGAGATGTCTGTGAAAGGACATTGAGATTTTAAGTTTTCATTTTCTAAGCTTGATTCAAGCTTATTGCTCCGTATTGTGCCTTGTAGTTGTAGCTGCTTTCATTTTTAAGGATGGATTTTTTTAGAGAGAACCTTCCCTTCAAATATTCAGTGCCTTACAGGGTTTCAGCACTGCCAATACAAATTAAAGTTGTGGTGCTAATTGTGGAACAGATTTTCATGGGGGGGTCTTTTGTTCTTAGTGATCAAATGGAGCCAGAACAGCCTGCGAAACATTGTTCTTTCACATATTTCACAAGTGTTGCGTGTTGAAGCTTTTAACCCTTTCCAGTTACTCCTTTGTAACTTTATGAACAGGAAACAATCTGATACAGTTAAGTGTTAGGTTTGATACGTATTTGATTTGTTGAATTTGTATAAGAGTGTTCAGTTTTAGAATTTAAAAGTTTTATGTTTCCATAATTGGATATACGTGTTTTTTTTCAGTCAGCTTCAGATAAAGTGGAAATGGTTGGTTTGTTAATAATACTTTGACAAATGTGTTCTATATTGAAGGTTTGAATACCATTGTGTTCCTTCTAAACATTTTATAGGATACTTTTGTAAGTTTTTTAATAATTCTCTTCTTGTCTATAGTTCCTTAAAGAGTTGAGGGATGACATAATTTTTGTTTGTACTGTGTTTTCTTGATTGAATTAATTATCTTTTTATATCAGTTTATTATGGTAGATTCTGACATTTCAACTAAAAATAATGAGATTTGGTTTGAAAGGGGAAATTGAAACAGACTTTGGCCATATACATTATATTTAAACAGGTAGAAATTTGTGAAACCATTAGTTTCCATCGGGGCTATGCCTTTACTATAAAAAATGTTATGCCATTACTAGTGAGAGCTAGTGCGTCATCACCCGTCTGAGAGAGACCTCAATAAGTAGGATCTTTTGCTGTGGAATCTGCTAATGTGATTTGTATTTGCTGTCAAGCACACAGGCAGAGGAGAGACCAGGTTGAATAAATGGTTTTCAGCTGAGCTGAAGTAACTCGTGACATAATTCGGTGCATTTATACTGATGTTAAGCCCTGGGTATTGGGTGCATTGCATTCCTTTATGCAGTCCAGTGTATTTTATGTTTATGTATGTATAATTACATGTACCGTATGTGCGTAATTTTCTTGAGGTCTATAGCAGTAGGTGTAAATGAATCAGAAATATTAGTATTCTGTCTTGGGATCTCAGGGGGTTAACAGCAATGTATGCATTGAAGGTGTGAAAGGATCTGTAAGAATGTGGTATCATATTATTTGTGGCAGACACCCAGAAACCTAAAAACATTATCAACACCTAAAAAAAGATAACAGATCAAAATAAATGCTCCATCCACAACTTTGGAAGACTGATCTGTTCCATAGAATATGTAAATACCAGGGACAGAAATTATGGACCATTTCATGAAGATGTTGTAGTCAAATTATCAGATGTAAATAATACAATAAAATGTTAAAAAGGAAATATTTTTTTTTCCATTTACAGTTGACCACCTCTATATATTCATAATTGTGTATGTATATATACAGGATTATTATATTTGCACACATATGTATTTGGGAATAAACGTGCTTGTATAAGCATTAGACCAGTTGCAAATAGAGGCCTGTTTGTAGTTGCATATAAAGAGTGGTTTTGTAGCAGCAATTGGGTATCTTGATAAAATCTGTAGGATAGATGAAGTTTTATGAATTTGGTGATTTACACAGCTCAGCAATTAATTTACCTGTCATTCCCCTGGACTCAAACTTTTTTTTTTTGCCCCTCTTGAGTTTTTCTGATGCCTTTTTTTATACATGGGATCCTGCACTATGCCTGCTATGCACAGCACAGCCCTCTAACTCCACTGGGATTGCTGTAGGTTGTGTGTGAATGTAGGTCAGTGTGTGGACGGGCCCCCGGCCTGTGCAATTACCCAGCTCCAGCCCTGTGAGCCTCCAGTGAATAAACAGTACGTGCCATCGCTAGTGCAGCCACAAACTGGAAAAAGTTGAAAACAATTTCAATAAAAAAATCACTTTTATTTAATTCCAGTAACTAAGCATGAACACGTATTCAAAAGCATCCATATATTCCAAATACAGATGTTGCTTTAGTTACTGTATTTTGGGGATTTTCCATAGGGAAAGAAAAACATTGTTTCCATTCGATTTAAATGCCCTTTATTTCTTGTCTGCCTTGTCACAGCTATTTAAATGATGCAATTCATTTCCTACTGGATTTTCTGTGGTTTTAGAGTTTACAAGACAAATATAAATCTATAAAAGAGGTTGCTGGAAATACATCAGTGAATTAATAAATGAGTACATATTGAATAGCAGGTTTGCCTTTAATCATGAAATCACATACTTATTGACTTCTTTTTTTAAATATATTAAAAGGAATGATAATGAAGCCGTTTATTTCTCATCAAATATCTAAGACTATAACCGAATTAAATCAACTAACTGAACATTATAGATTTCTAACTAAATGCATAATACTTTTTTACTCTTATGTTTTTCTAAGCAGGATAAACTCTTAAGTGGTATAAGAAGGTCAAAGACAGTAGAATTATTAGAGATCATTTTTTTTTTGTTGTACTGAGTCCTGTTGTTATTCCAGAGTCAGACTTCCTTCGTTTTAAACAGCAGTGTAATAATGTTGGTTTGCTTGTCCTTTGATATTCCTTTGATGAAGGGTAGATTTAGCAAATTCTTCTTGTTGCCTAGGAGACGGAAAGATACTGCACCAGCATTCAGATCACATATTCTCTCAGTGACTCATCATGGGCCACATGATTTTTCCATTATTCAGAAGCTGAAAGGAAAGGACATGTATAATGCATAAAGCCTGGTGAAAGTGTTTTTTTCCCCTTCTTTCTGCACTATTTACTCAAGGACCATAACCTTTCCCTGCTCTTTAGAACAGGTTCCTCTTTCGCCAGGACAGTTTTGGAATAGTGGTGTTGGCTACACTAAGTTATGGGGCTCTTCACTGTTCACAAAAACTGCTTGAAGGGGCCTCAAAAATGCATTTTGCTCTTTTAGAACTTGTGCAGTGACTAAAGGTTCCATACAAGAAAATACATCTTCAGCTGGTTTCCAAACTCTCTGAATGATATGTTGTATTGTCCTTTAGGGTTTTGGCATCAGACAGTGGCTTTGAAGATGTGAGCGTGCTGCACGCTTTCATTACCACCAGTGAGGTGAGAAATAACTGTTAGCACATGGAGTCAACTATAACTGGAAATGTGTATCTGACCATACAATCACACAATAAAGATAAATCAATAATGACTATTGAATTGCACTTTTGTCTTTTTATGTTTGAAGACTTGTGCTCCATATACTATGTGCTCCATGGTATATTTACAGTAGGTAATATTGCCAAATGGCATTTAAGCAGCAGTGTTTGAATGATGTTAGAAGCAACCATAACCCTAGATTTAACGCTTTCTTTACCCTTGCCAGGGGTTTGAGTTCAGGCTGCGGTTTGGTTTAAGGCTAGTTGGTGGTAATTAAGGTTGGGGGGGAGTTAATGTCTAGTCTAGTGTAACCTCAGGTAAAAATGTATTGCAGCAGAGAGGTCTTTAGTTTGTGGGAGAATCCTCTAAATCTACCGTCCAGATTCACAATAATTTGAATATAATTGATACTGTTTTTTCAAACACAGTGCCATAATAATTATGGAATTTATGATAGTGACCAAGCGATCGTCAATAAGATGAAATGCTGTATTAGGGATCCTTGTAAGCATGTACCAAATACAGCTCTGGTATAAAATTGTAACTCCGGTAAACTACTCAGCAACATCATTTCATCAAACTCGGTTACATTCATACTCGGGATTACAGTATCTAACTCTATATCACTAATATGGTAGTATCAGTTTCCAATACATACATCCTCGACACACAGCCTCTCCTGTTGCTTTCACTGCTCCACCACATTATTAATATTGTTTCACACAATAATGACACTCATAAATCCTGCTGTGTTTCATGAATGATTTCGTAATTGATATGAAGTGTTATTCTCTCACTGATGTGAGATTCCTGTCCGTTTCCATGTTCAGATTGCCAGCATGAAGCCCAGATTTACAGCGCAGGAGCTGTTTGAATGCTTGTCTCGGCAGGAGTACAGGTGAGCGGCAGTTTACTTTGAAGCTTCATACACTACGAGAATATCATCAGCGTCTTAAGTGTCCTTCGTGTCCCATGCTTTGAAATATTGCTTTTATAATCAAGTCTTAAGGAAAAAAACTACAGGTTTGCTTATTGTGACTCTCCAATTAGCAACTAGTATTAATGCCCTTGAGACTAAACCGTTTTACATCTTCAATAATTTTTGTTCTTGTTAAAAAAGGCTTTGGCATCGTATTCAATTGTCCTTTAAGAAACAGCCCAGCTTTATTTATCCTAACCGTAGATGAAGCAAAAATATTCTAAATGTGACATAACTAGTACTACGTCTTGCTGATTTGACCTCATTTGACAGTCTTGATTGATCAATATTGACAGTATTGATCAATATTTATATTGAAATAACCCATTTCACCAAACACATTACACATTTCCGCCACATCAGTTATTAATTCCTTTGTTTTTATTAAACAGATTGTCTTGACATTCCATGTAGAATCATGTTTCCGTAGTGTATAATCTGTTGTTTTCGGCATTGTGGTGCTTTGGTTGGCATTGCTGCCTCAAGGCGCTGACGCCATGGGTACCATTACTGGGGTGTCATCTGCCTGGAGTTTGTATGTTCTCCTCATGTTGGCGTGGGTTTCCCCTGGGTGCTCGCCTGTTTGTGTCTGTGCATCTGCCCTGTAGTGGACTGGCGAATCCTGTGTTGCATCAGTTGCTTGCCGAGATAGTCTCCAGCTCCTCTGGAACCCTGGATAAAGTGGTCAGAAAAAGGATAGGTGGCAAATCTGTTATAGAGCATTAATCAGATTAAATAAAGATCCTACTAGGACATGTTAGGTGTTTGTCTCCCACTGGCAGAAGTAAATCAGCCTTATCTTTCCCCAGACCCAGTCTTCTGAGAGTCATCCCCAGCTTGGGATTTAACCACTTCATCATTTATCTTTTCCACTTAGCTGTACAGCAGCCACAGCATAAATAATAGTGTGTGTGTTGCTACAGACGGAAAGCTGAGGTGTGAGCCCAAGAGTAAATGGATTTTCTGAGTTAATCCATCAAGCTACCATAGTAAATGCTAAGTGAAGCCCTCATATGACTGGTGCTTTAGGGTACAGTCTGAGCACGTGATGAGAACGACATTAGTGGAACTTTAAAGTGATCCTTGCAGACTAGCACTGTGGGTCTGGGCAAGTTGCCAGTGTTGTGCTTTGGAATCTGATTTCAGTACATTGTTCCTACACCCTGTTCTTTTGACCAGGGCTCTATGGTTCAGTGGTACGTGTGGAAAACCTGTTCACCATGCCTTTCAATGGGAACTAGATGTGCAATGCATAATAAGCACCTGAATTCTTCATGAAAGCTGACAATGAACTTTCCATTCTGGTGATTCAGAACACATGACGCATTCCATCGTTTTCTCCTAAGTCTTTCCTGGCAGTGACTCTAAATCCCAGCTTAAGCACCGATACACTCTGTTTTAAAACAAGAAGAGTAAGCCCACAATCCATGCTATGATCCAATGCCGATGAACATAAGAAAATTATTTTCAAGGAATTTTAAGTTATTTTGTTACTCAGATGTTTCAGAAAATGTGTGAACCTGTGATTCATGATTATTCCTGGCCCAGGAATATTAATTCCCAGATGTGTATACATTATTTAGATTTGTTCTTATTATCCTCAACACTTTTCAAATATGTTTCCTTTTGTTCCCAGTAACTGAACAATCAAATATCATGGAAGATCTATAAAATTCATGTAATTCAAAAGTGTTGATGGGCAGTTCAAGTATTTTCACCTCCAACAACTACAGATTTTTGAGTTAAAGTATTTTAAGTGAATCTGTTCAATCCCATCGTGAATTGTAATGTGTCTCGTGTTTTCCTATCCTTTTTTGCTCCATGAAAAATAAAAAATAAAAGTTTTTAAAATAATACATGTTAATGCTTAAAAACACCGACAAAGCGAATAATTTCAAGAGAAATGTTCAGGCACAAAGTCATTCAAATAAGCAGTTGTTTAAGTCTGTCAATTTATGAATGTGATAAATGCCTCTTTTAGTGTTTTTATTAAACGTGTAATCTTTTTCATGATTATTCTTCAAGAAAAAGAAGTGATGTGAGGCTGACTTGTTTGATCTAGTTTTCTTTAACATACACTTGAGCAATTATTAACAATTAGTAACACAAAGTGCCTTTCACAGATGTGTGTGAGAGACGAGCACCTTGGGTTGAATGGCTCAAGCCAAAGCCATTGTCGTACCCGAGGTACTGGAATCATGCCGAAGAGTTCCCGTTAATCAGTCTGAAGGATGATTAAGGGGCTCCTTGCATTACATATCCTCTCTCTAAACAAGAGATCAATTTCTCTTTGCCGTCTTTACCTTGATTCAAGGGCGGTTACATAACCCTGATACTCTGTCATTTGTAAACTCCTCTTCTTAGGGATATACATTTCTAAAATTAAGCACCTGAACAAGATTATCTTACTTTGGTGATAGCCACAGTAGCTTTTTTGAGTATCAGAAGAGTCATTAAGTCATCCATTTTACCTTTAAGATGCAAATCCTGACATGAAATAGTTAGCAATGTCCTTGTTAGAATAAGGCTTCAGACAGGGTATGGGATTTAGTTTCTAGGTGTACTAAATTTTGTCTTTTTGTTCGTTGTGAACTGTTTTCCCTGTTATTATTGTGGTGAAGTTGGTTTTTGTTGGCGGTTTCTGCAATATTTAATACAACCAGGTAGATGCTTCCAAGATGAAGCTGGAGAGGTAGAAGGATAGGTATTTGAGGCTGACAAGTGTAGATCCACTGGTGTCTTTATATCCCTGAAAGACAGGCTTGTGTTTCACTCACAAAAACGAAACTGTAAATAATCCCATTTCTCATGCAGATTGTGCTTGCTGTTCATCGCTGATCTTTTGAGAATTCTCTGACCACTTGGTTGGTACTAATGGTATGTCTGAGGAGGTATTACAGTATATTTGCATTTAAATATTTTGCTCAAATATCTGAGAAACCGTCTGCGGACCTTCAAGTAATAGCAAACAAAGCACAAGCGTGTTTTCTACTGGGATGACTAGGACAGGACTGTTCCTTCTTTCCTTAACAAGCGCGAGAAAGCTTGGCCACCAACAACCGCAAAAAAACAGAATCTTAACCACTGGCACCTTCTCCTCGGTTAGAGAAGCCTAGTCATGCTGAAAGTGTTGAAGAAGAGTCGTCTTAGCAGTTAACATCTTGGAGGAGTGGGAGGTGAGTTGCTATGTTGAAAAACAGAAGTGTTACATTAGTGATGCAGCGTATAAATAATTACCATGCAGTGGAATAGTTTTGCTAAGTGCTCAAAGCTTCACTGAACTTCACTTATACAAATCTGAGAGGATGCGATTGCCTGTGTTTTTCCGCGGCAGCACCATGTTATTACTGTAGGTCTCCATGGTGACATTTGTATGAATTTGCGAAGCACCTTCTTCTGCCTTATGCTTACGTTCAGAACGTCAGTCTTTTTTTTTTACAGATCATCTTCCCTTCCTCTACCAGGAAGTTCTCTGGCTCTTGACATTTGAATGCCAGGGAATGATGAAACCCCCATTTCCCTACAAAATAAATAATACATGCTGCCAAAACAGGTGGCTGTTGAAGTCTAGCACCCAGCGGGAGAGATTTACTGGTTCACTGAGCTGCAAAGGGGTCAAAACAAACATCTGACAAATGTGGATGGCATTTTGATCCAGCCATTTTAATCAGAAACATCAAAATAGAGTTGTTGCTCATTTGTGGACTTTTAGTCGTTCAGCCAGGGAGATTTCTTTTTTTTTTTTTTACAGCATTTAGAAATCTAGATGAAATCCTTTTGTCAGGCCTTGGAAGAAAAGGGAACCATATGAAGTCTTGGAAATAGAATAAAATCAAATCAAAGTTTATTTATCAAATGCACAACAATGCAGCGTGCAGCAGTACTTGCTGGCAATGAAATTACTTTTTCTGCGAGCTCACAAAATTCACAAACACACAAAAATCACAAACTTGAGGTTACGGATCACAAACTTGAGGTTACGAATAATAAACACTAAAGCATCAGTTGAGCTCCTAGTGATATTCAAAATCAGAATATCTGTTTTAGAGATATTTTGTTAAAATAGTATTTTAATTGTAGAATAACAGATCAGTCCCTGAAATGGTTGACACAGTGAGATTTATTTATTTATTATTTGGCAGTTCACTTACTGCACTGTGATTGTGTTTGTTACATATCACAAAATAAATATTGAAGATTAACAAGCACTGGTAGTTTTCCAGCCAGTGTGATACAATTTGATTGCTAGCAGGTGACAATTAAAGGGTAGCTCACTGCCATATCCCTTTATGAACAGGACTGCTGGGCTCTCTGAAACTGATATATGCAAAAAAAAAGCCCATCCACTGGCTATTGGAGATGTTCGTAAAGCAATGAATTAGAAGGAAGTCTAAGATAATTAATTATTCACACCCAATTAACGTCACACCCGAAAAAGGCTCCACAGCCAAAATGCTGTGTTTCTTTTCTTCTCTTTTCAGCATGGAATAAACCTTTACGTGTTCCTTTGCTGCCAACACATGCTGATGCAGCTCCCTACGTGAACTAAAATAATTGATGATGATTGAGTTGTTCTCAATCGCTAGTCTCTGACTTTTCATTTGCTTTTAACTGTGGACTTTCACGAGAAGCACATTATGCATCAGTCCTCCTATAAAAGGTCATCTGCAAGTGTGGTAAAATTTTATTAAGGAGGTTAAGCACCCATGTGACATAATAAAGTACTTGTGTCTGGCAAAGATGCCCGCTGGACTGCTTTTTAAGCTAATTGTTTCCTGACAACTGTTTGTCATGGTTGTTCTTGATTTTGAGTACATGATAAATCAATGAGAAATGTCTTGTAATTGTTTTATTGTTATTCCTTTTCGCAGAAGTAAGCAGCATAGATTGTTGATAATGCCGCAGGGGAGTGTGTTTTTGGCTTCTAATGCTATTTTTATGCACGTTTGTGTTTTTACTTGGAAGTGAGAGGCTACACACTTTTGCTACGTGCAGAGCGAAAGCAACAGAAATAGAGTAATGGATATTAAATATCCACTGTGCACTAGTAATCCTCAGCAGAAGGTAATGAAATTGTTAATGAGACTGGCAGTGGACCACATGTTCCATACCACCTGCTTGAATTATTTGATTATAGTAAGTTAAAGGTCAGTAGGCAAATTAAAAAGAGCCATGCGGTTTACATTTGTAAGTTATTTAATCCTGAGCTTATTTTCCTCTATATTATCTGGAAATAAAAACTCAGTCCAAGCTACTAGATGAAATGCTCTGATTTGTTTGTAAAAATTAAAATGTGAACAGTATAGCAGGATGTGGACAATCCCTTGTTTTGCCTGAATAGTAAACTAGATGCGGCATGAAGCAGTACTGTGAGGAAGATGTTATTCATGAAGAATCAATGGATTATTTTATGTATGAATTTATATTGATTTTTCCATGTTTCCATGTGATCACGGAGTCCATAGAACAGATGAAGGATATTTTAAAGCCTTTTCAGACGTTCTTTTTATCCTGTGAATCATGTACCTAATTGGTCTTTCAGAAATGAAAATGTGTTGTGACCTTTTATTGAATTTATGTACAGCTGATGTGTACACAACAGTGTTTTTCCAGTTGAAACTTGCGTGCTACTGTTAAAATCTACATATCTGCCTGGAGGTACAGTCACTACTATAAATAGTGGCACTGCATCTGGAAGGAGAGATGTTGATTTAAACCGAACCTGGGCTTCAGAGAGATTTACTTAAGTAAGCATTAAGTAGGAACTGGAACCAACAGAAGTGGCTGTGCTGTGTATGTTGAGTGAGGATCTTTAGCCAAGAATCACTCTATCATTCCTGTACTGTAATATGAGAAAGTTCTTTGTCTTGAAAACAAAATGCCTGCATTATTTTGTGAACAGCATTTACATGGCAATTCAAGCATGGTTAGTTTTTTTTGACAATAGGAGGATTTAAAAGTAATTGGTATTACTGTTATTTCATATGTATATCTGGAGGAAATAATCTATAATTAAATTGGTGTTGTAGAATTCATTGCCAGTACATATACCTCTTTAATCCCTCTTCCCCCCAGAGAGAGGTAGCTCCAAACAAAGTCATGCCAAAACCTTAAATTGTCACTTCTAACATTTCACATTAACTTATTGCCACAGTAATGCAAAATAACAGCATCATCAGTGCATTCCTAACAGTATGTTACATTATTTAGAATATATTTTCATAAACAAAATGAAAAAAATGTGCAAATAGGTATACCTGCCTTATGTTTTTCTATTACTATTACAGTCCAATAAAGGATAAAAGTATTCACTTGTTCTGCAGCTCCTCAATAGGAGATTGACATCAGATGTGTGCAGTCCAGGTCTTGGAGAACCAGTCTGCTTGTTTCTGTTTCAGCTTAATTCTTAATTACTTGAATCAACTTTTTTATTGGTGTAGTTGGATCAGTTCAGCTTTTCAGATGCTAGAACTGTAGGGCGACTTAGAAAAGCAGCATTGGCCTCTTGGACCAGGACTGGAAACCCCTGCTTTAAACTGACTCGTCAGAACTGATTCTTTTTGTGTCAATCAGTTTCAGTAGTAAAATAAACTGTTTAAAAGAGCAATGTTGTTTCCAGGCCCCAGGAAGCAGATAGGAAAATGAGTGTCTTATGTCTTTTGTCAGCTGTTGAAATAATACAAAATAATCAATTTCTTCAATCTCCCCTTTTCCTTTTATTCCCAAATGCCGTTTTATTTTTGTATCAGGGGTTAAAAAACAATTGCTTAGCGCAGGCACAGTTAAAGGTTGATGAGCTAAAAAGAACACTTTCTGGAAACCTGCTGTGCACAACAATTACCAGCACAGTATGCCACTGCTGTGTATGTAATTAATCCCTCAGAGGTTTGTCTCCCCTTGGCCTCCTGTGATAGTAGGATTCTGTACATCTTCACCCTCTTATATTTCTGAAGGTGAGCAAATATGAGACATGGGGTATCAGTGCCTGGAATTTACCTGGTTAATGCCTATTGATTTAAAGGAGCATCATGATTAAACTGAGATTTGTTGAGACCTTTAGTGATGACTCTTTAAATTGAAATATGTCGGCACAGAAAGGATGTAGGGGAAACCATTCAGGAATCGCCACAACAGTGATACCTATGTTTTTCTTTCTCTTTGCTGTGAAAGATTCATGGCACCTGTCCGGTTTAAGCAGTAGAAGAGGTTTCTTCATTTAAAGGCTGCCAGATGGAACGCTGTGCTCTTGTGTGTGTGGGTCCAGACCTGATCCTTTGAGTGACCCTAGTGCTCACCTGTGCTACAGCCTCTCTCTTGTGCCTTTCAGGGAGAAGCTAAAAGTGGGCTGGGGCCAGCTGGTGGAGCTGAGCATCAATCTGGAGCAGTGCAGGACAACCGTGTGCACTCAGGCTGGGAATGAGCCTGGGCTGTAATCCTACAGGCTTGGACCAGAGCACTTTGATTCTTGAGCAGCATGATTCAGCACCTTTGGTGAGGTTGTGCGGTAGGAAGAGATGTGCACTACTTTGTGAGTTTTAATTACCAGCTTTGCCACATTACTCTGATCTGCCATTTAAAGTAACACCAGATGTTTTTCTCAGTCCTAGTTCTCAGGGAACGTAGCAAACTCAAACTCCTTTCTTTTAATCTTTGCACTGGTGAATATCCCCTGTGTAATCAAAGCCCTTTATACAAGGTACCCTATGTGGCCTCATGAGTGGATGAGCTCACTAAAGGCAAGTGTAGATTGAGCTACAATATAGTCCAGTCCTCAATGGTTCAAAGCTGGCAGACAGACCAGAGGTCTGAGGTATGAAGCAGTGCTGGTTTTGGGTTGAGATGGCCAGGTTAACCTTTTTATTTTGCGTTTTTATTCATTTTAATGTGATATAATACACATTAAAGCATATAATAACAGCAATTACAGTTTGTGCTTCATTGTATCTGCCGCCCTCTTGCAGGATACAGTGTTAAAAGGGGGGGAGGAGGAGACATCAAAGGGAATAACTAAAGGGACCCCACCATTCTGGCCTTCAATCTGGATTTTTATTATATGATATTGGAGGAGTAAAGGTTTTAAGATTGTTAATCTTCCTTTTACCTTATCAAATATTGTTGGTAGCTTTGACTTTCTTTGCAACAGCATCACATGGAGCTAGCCAGGCACTTAGGAGCTTGCAGCGCTGTCGGTAAAAGCAGCATCAGTGCACCTTTCAAAGCCTGATGTGCTGTAGGCACTGTGGATCTTGCAGGGTCCCAAGCAGATGATGTTTCCTCTGTACTCACTGTAGAGAAAGTTTGCCCATTCGTCCTCACTTTGTTGTGGTAAGAGGGTCTTAACAGCAAGCAAAGACAGTTGATCGATCCAAAATCTTTTTTAAAAGATCTGGCATTTCCACATTTGCAATCAAAACAGCAGCAGTAAATACTGCATGTTAGATATTTACTACAATAATAGTATTGTGCAAGCAATGAATAATTTTGTTTTCCCCATTTTAAGAACTGTATTGATTAATCAGGTGTCAAATATGGACAACATATTAGCATGACAGTTTAGAGTCTCGGGTTTGATTCTGGCTGGGGAGCCTTTTGTATGAAGTTGTATGGAGTTATCATGATCTCCCTTGATTTACTGGAACTTGCTCTGGGTTATCCATTGTCCTTCCATTTCCCAAAGATGTTGTATATTGGTGTGTTGACCGATTATGTTAAATTACGTTTTCCATGAGCAGAAGTGGGGCCCCTATCTCATCAGTCCAACCTATCTGCACGACCTCTGATATCATGAAGAAGTGTGTCAGTGTAATGAAGACTAGGAAAGCAATGCTAAACTGAAGTTATGCTTTGCCATGAATATATTTGAAGCCAGTGCTGTTTATACAGTGCCACTACACTAATCACTTTGTCATGGTGTTCCAGGCACCCTGTCCAATAGTTGATGAAGTTTTTACTCTTTGTGGCAGGTAGGATGTCTTGTCAGGTGAATCTGTTGAGAGGCACACAAACATTTAAGAACTTCAAAGTGAGCGTTAATCTGGAAATGCGCTGTTCTCGAAAGTTAGCCCATATCAGGTGCATCTCAATCTTTTGTACACCTTGCCTTACTCAACGCCCTTATTAAAGGATGTTAAATGAGTTGTGGGTTTGGGAATCTAAGGGCCTCCAAAGGACTTCTCAATAAGAGATGTTATCAGTTAGCAATATTGTTTCACCATGTCCAGAATTAATAAAATCTTAGCTGATCTAGCCAAAGTTTCATGTTAAACTTAAACTTTGCTTCATTACTCAGGATTTTCTGTATTACAGACAGAAGTAATTTTCTCTTTGTAATAGCCTTCATGTATTAAATATTTATTTCCCGGTAAAACCATTTTTGTGCCTATGTTTTGCTCATTTTCTGACCATGTTATTCTGAGCTTCATACAAAAACAGCATGGCACCAAATACAGTATATATTACTCTCATGTACATTGTACCACAGTATATGAGACCTTGAAATAATTTCCATTTTTTTCCAATTACAACATGTACATGTATATTGTTCATAGAACTATGCAATGTACATTTTACAAGTCTGTTTAAATTGTAAAGGAGTTCTTTATGCATTAAAAGAAATATGTTCTGCAGAATTTCCTCAAATTTCCTTTATTTTACATACCACTTTGCAGCGCGTGTGCTGCACTTTGTGTCTTGTGTTTAATCTGGCAGTTGTTTTAAAATATCTCCTCTCTTCTTAATCCACAGAGATGTTTGTGTAGGTTATTCCATTACAAAATTAAGTGAAAAAGTAGGCTAAGAATTTAAGTTTCTTAGAATTAGTCTGAATCCGTATTATGTATTCAATATCTTCTCTAAAGGAAATTTTAAACATATGCCTTATAATTATAAGTGCCTTGTTATAATTTCCTGTGTGACTGCAGTAATACTCATCGCTTTTTTTTCCAAACTCCTATATTCACTATTTTCTAGATTTAAGCCTAGTAAAACATACTCAGTATCCGACAGGATTCTCTGACCTCATGGATGAGCCTCAAAACTAAGAGTTTCTGTGGTTTTAACCAGTGCAAAATGATTAGTTTCTGAAGTTTGTGGAAAAAGGTTTATTTTGAGACTATATAAAGAAAGTTTTTTTTAAATTGTAGACATGACTTTTGTAATTACATATACATCATGATTATACTACATATATACGGTTTTGTTTTTAAGTAATATATATATAAAAACACCAGTTTGCATAAAGTGATGGGGACCTAAGAAGTTATACTGTTTAAATTCAGATGTTTTAAATGTTTATTCATATACATTTGCTACTTGTCATCATGCCATAGGTTTTAATCAGACTACCTTGTTGTGATTATAGTATAATGAAATTTGCAGTGCAAATAAGACTTCTCTTCGAAGTGATTGTTTTGTCGTTGAGAAACTAACATATATTGTGTATATGTGGTGGTGTAATTTATGAGTTTCCTGCAGTGCAGTTATTTTATTGTTGCATTGTAAATGAAATGTTGGCTTAATTTAAAAATCTGAAAGGCTAGTCTTTCAAAATCAAAGACAGCTGAGGTATTCAGTACTGCTTGGACTAGATGGGGAGATAAGGGTAAAAAGAAATTGAAGTTTATATTGTACCACAGCAAATAACCCCAGTAGTACCGCAGTGCCTTTTGTTATTTTATGTTTATTCAACTTCGATAAATACAGATTAGTTGAGGCTACAGATTAGTTGAGGCATACTGTGGGCACGGGAATGCATTGTGTCTCTCCCCTTTGCATATTGTAATTCCATGTCATGTGAGAGCCAATGCAGTTGTAAAAGAAGGAAGAGAGGATTACAGGATTTGTGACGAAAGCAGGCAGAGATTACAAGGTGCAAAGAAGAATGTTTAAACAAGGAAACAGACGCAAGTAATTTTCCGATGGAGGAAAACCAGTGTCTGAAAAGAGCTTGCATTTTCACTCTAATCTCTTGTCTGGGACGTGTTAAGGTCAAGGTGACAGTTTGATCACATACTAGCATGGAGCTGTGCCTTTAACAGCATGATGCAGCAACATTCCAGTTCACTGGCTTGATTACAGTGAGGACAAGCTGATACACTAACTGTGCAATTCTGAGTACTGTAGACCTCCTGTCATTTTCTAGGAGGAATGCGGTGTGGGTTATCATGTGACTTCAGTGTTTAATCATACTGTTAAGTAGGGAGTAACTTGATAGTGTCGCAGTAGCACTAGCAACTAGGCTTTTTTGCAAGCAAAACTACAGGTTCAGTATTTTCTTGAGCTCTGAATTACGGCAATTACAAGTTTATGCTAGTTCGTTGTTTTCTTGCATGGAATCTTGCTCTTTGAAAGAAAATAGAGTCTTGATGAAACAAAGGGGGATTCGTGTTTAATATCCATTAGTTTTATAAATGTTTTTTTTAATATGTTTAATATTAGATTAAAATTAACAAGTCCACCACTTCCAGACAGCTTTATAGACCAATAGAATATTTCTTGCTAATATTTGTGATTTCATTAAAGTGCAGCAAGAGGCATTTATTGCCTTAGGTATTTGTTTAGGTCAGGAAGAGGCGTACCAGGTTGACTTTTGGCCTTTCATATTCAAGTTAGCTAGCGGTTATTCAAGTCCATTCTAGAATTGACCTGGTGTTGTTTTAGCCTCTATTTTTCCTTTGACATTTTGCTGGAATCTGAATTCTGATGTAGCAGTGATTCAAGTAATCATGTGATATAAAAGTGCTGCTAACCTTGGTCCCCAGGCAAAAGAACACAAGGGCAAAGCTTAGTGCCAACTTCAATTACTTGCTAAGTAAAGTCTAGCCTTCTCATTGACTGGCCTTCCAAGCCTCTGACACCAAGCTTCATTCACAAGATTTAGGATTAAACGTTTGTGAATGAAAGTACCAGAAATTACTGTAGAATGACTTAGAACTAGGTACATGAATTATGAATTTAGAATACTAAACCCAAAATTGCAGCTCCTAGCAGAGCCCCACGCAAAGAATAATGCCCCTCTTTAAACCCTTCAGTGCAATTCTTTAAGGTTATGTGCATTTTTACTTCTTTTTATTGCTTTTAAAATAGAAATACTAATTCCACTCGGAGAAGTAAAAATTTTCCATTCTCTGTGTCTCCTTGCCTAACTGGCAGGTAGCTTCGTTTTTAGCTGGAAACCAATCTTATTATAATCATAAACAGGTGATGAAAAGTGAGCACTGAAAGCAAAAAGTCTTAAATATTACCAACAGCCTACAAGTGGAAGAACACCAACAATAATATAAAAGAAGATTGATGTGGGTTTCCAACATTGAAATCAATACTGAAGAACATTTTGAATAGAAATAATCTTCTAATTACATTTTCATTATAAGATTATTTGTATACTTTACATTTTTTATCTGATTAAAAACTCACTCTTAGAGAAAATTGGGAATAATGGGTTACTGTGTGTGCAAGAAAAGCAGTCAGAGCTATTAAAGACAGAAACTAGTTATTTCAGCTTGGCTACTATCATGGAATGGACTATGGCACAACCACCAAAACCCTTTTGAAATTTGATGCTGCCAGCTCGAAATGTTCAAATTAGACCTGCAGTGAGTCAATTTCTTGCACGATATTTTTTACAACAAAACCAAAAAAGGGTACTTAAAAGGTTGATTAGGTACTGTAAATGTTAACCAGAAGAGGAGTTGTTTACATAGCAACACCTCTCTATTCTGGTTCACACTGGAATAAACAAAATAAAGGCTCAGTAAAAATGCAGGTTTTGTGAGTTGATATGGTTTATTAGTTAAGGAATATTAACTTATTAGCTTGTAACAAAAGTGATATGGAATTTCACACCCTCCAAATCCTTTTAAAAATTACAACCAGAAAGAAAGTTTTAAATACTGAACAAGTGTATTTTTAACATTCAAAAATGCCATTGCAGTTCAACAACAATCTGTAAAATTGCAGTACCAAACTTTTCTGTGCAAAGGCAGAAGCTTTGTAGCATGTTTATGTGATGCAACCAAAGTAATTTAATGCTTTGAAAAAAAAAAATCTGACACTTAGGTTTTACATCTATTGGTAAATTGCTCAGCTGTGTATAAAAAATATAAAAAAGGCCATCATAAAAGATACACTATATTGATACGCATTTTCAGCTTTAGTTTAAATGACACAAAACAGCCATATAATTTTGTGAATAAGGCTCTTAACTGCAGATTTTCCCAGTTAGAAACTAAAGTATAAAGTTAAATTTCCCCAATTTAGAAACAATCCTTGAACGTAAAGCTCAGCTAGTTATCACCATTTATTTTGCTCTAAACTTGGTTAGTACTTCTTGCATTAACCACTAGAGAACAGGGAAAAAATGACCTAATACATACGTGAAAACTGTTCTGCTCCAAAAACCCTTTCCTGAAAAAAAAAAACTCAGCTCCAGAAAGAATGTACTTAAATGTTGGCATTCTTATAAGGACAAAAAAAAAAAACAATGAAACAAAATATATACAGCACAATATATTGTATGCAATATGCAAAGGATTTATGTTGCAGTCAGCAACCCAGTTGAATTTTTATTTCCCACCCTCATAAACCCATCTTCACTGAAGAATCCCCCTCCCAAACCTGCTCACATGTAAAACTTCACTAAACACAATTACATCACTAAGCCTGTTAGTTTGAGAAAGGTGCTGCACACATTCAATTAACGGTAAAGGCATCAATGCAGGGACTCCACTCATTGGTTTCGGGGTCGTATATTTCGAAGGTGTTGAGGAACTCATTCCCGTCGAAGCCACCCACTGCACAGATGAACTTCCTCAGCACCGCCACACCCGCGTTGCTCCGAGCTGATGTCATGCTCCCCAGCATCTTCCACTCATTCTTGGCTGGGTCGTACACTTCCACACACCTCAGGGCATGAGAGCCGTCAAACCCTCCAACCACAAACAGCTTTCCTGCAAAGACATGTGCGCTTTTGAATGAACATTCTGTTTGCATCACAGAAGGAAAATTCCATCTGCTGTAACTTTTGATTTCCTGAACCACAAAATGTCAACTTTGCAGTATCATTACACTGGATGTGGGGAAAGCCTTGCAAAAAAAACAGTATGAGAACACTCACCCTCGTACACAGCCACCCCTGCCCCACGCCGAGCTACGTTCATGGGAGCAACTAGAGTCCAGGTATTGTTTTCAGGGTTGTAGCGCTCCACTGTATTCAGACAATTCCAGGACTCTGCTCCTCCGATGACGTACATGAAGTTGTTCAGTTCACACACTGCTGCCTGGTGTCTCCCTATACAGATCAATACAAATGTTATACAAGTGACTCCCAGAAATGGAATTCAATGCACTTCACTGAAATGACAACTTGCTGCCCTTAACCTCTAATACACTATATTGTGGATTCAGTCATTTCTTCCATGAGCATGCTTGGGTTTGTTTGAATCCTGCTTCCAACTGTATGGCATGTAGGATGTTTGTGTAATCACTACAAAAAAGTTCAACTGATTGAAAGAAGAAATGAGTTTAAAAGATTTTAAGCTGCTCTTACACTAAATTGCTACGATAGTGCTAAAATATGTTACCAAAAAGTATGTTTTATTAACAAAATGGACATACTTATATTAAGTGGAGCACAGCTTGTCCAGATCTTTGTAATAGGGTCGAAAACATCACAGTTCTTCAAGCCTTTCTGGCCACATGGATCTGATCCACCAACAACATACAGTTTGTTGTTTAAGGAGCAAACACCTAAAAACAAAACATGAGCCATTGTGAGGCAGAAGAACAGAAGTATAGCATTCTTCATTCCAAAGAGCTCGACACATAGGACAACACATCCCAGAAGCACAGCACCAACCTGGATGACACAGAAACTCCACTGCACAGCAGATCAGGTGAAATGAGTTACACAGAGATGCCCATTTACTATTTATTTTAATAGCTTTTTCTAGTTGTTCTAGTGCCATTTCTTATTAAAGATATTTATTAGTTTCAAGGATGGGTCGCAATACCCAATTCATAAAATATTTACCTGCATTGCAGCGGTTTGTTCTTAACTCTGGCACTTGAGTCCACTCGTCAGCATTCAGGTCATACGTTTCTCCACAGCTGAGCTCATCTGAATGTCCGTTGGAACCTCCCATCACATACAGTTGGCCCTAAGAAAGACAGGTAAAAAGAGATTTGGAAACCATGTCCAAGAAATATCTAAGAAGTACCGTTTTGAAGGGAAGTGCATGAAGCAGACATTTGAAGCGACACTTACCATTAGCACTGCCATCTGGAAGCGTGCTCTTGGTGTCCTCATTGGAGCAATGAAAGTCCAGCTGTCCTTGTCCGGATCATAGCATTCCACGGTACGCAAGCATTCTTCCCTGTTATAGCCACCTATACAAAAAGGTATTAAAATCAAGGTATAAGGTTATCAACCTTAACAGTATCACAGCTTAATCATCTTGCAAGAACTTCACTATTTTCAGTTCACCTGACAAATGTAAACTTAAAAAAACTCATTACAGAAAAACTACTGAAACAAATTCAAATCTAATATGCTAGAGTGCCTGTAGAGTCAGTAGGCAGTGATTGGATTTTAAACCTCAAGGGCTTTAAGAAAATCCATTTGTGCAAGGTTGTTGGATTTTACCACCTCCTTAGATCACCAAAATCAATGCCTTGCCTGCTGCAATAAGCCGGCCGTTGAGTTCTGCTGTGCCCAGGCCTGACCGAGCGTAGTGCATAGGAGACAGCAATTTCTCCTCCAGCTCCTCTGGCTGCACCTCGAAACTCATGCTCTTCAGCATGCAGGGTGTTCCAGATGGGGAGCTCTGGGGGCTGTTTCGGCCGTGCAGGAAGATAACACACAGCACTCCATTCAGGACAGCCAGGCACAGGTAGATGTTGTCTAGGGTGAAGATAATAGGACGTTACTTACACAGTAATGAGACCTTAGAAAATTAAGAAAAATTCGGTCTTAAGAATTACTTGTGCACGAACAGCTTAGTAGAAGGGGGTTTCCTGGGAACCCATACACCTGCTGGTGTTCACTCCTGCCAGGGTCATTTCTTTAATATGTCACTAAACTAACAAGTTGCTCAACTGGAACCATTTCAAAAGCTGGAGAACTTGTTACTTATGGAATGTAGGTTTAAAGGCAACATCCGGTATCTTTAAGAACTGAAAACAATTTTTCCTTTTAGGTCAATTTAAGTGTTGCAACTATATAAATTAATGTTCAGCTGCAACCTATCCAGCATGTGCTGGTCTTGGGAATGATGGGAAGCCTAAGAGTAAAAGACTGCACCAATTATAATCATTTGTTCATATTGACAGAGATTACAAAGAATCCTAAAAATCCCCTTTTATGGGTGCTAAAGACTACTTTACAGCTTAATCCTTCACTCACTGGTTGTCTTCTCAGAGGCTATGTATTTCCACTCGTGCTTGCACAGCTGATTCACAGAGCTGGGAGACAGACTTCCAGAGGAGCTGTTGCTCATTGGCCTGTGGTCATTCTCGCGAAGGGGCTTCTTCTGCAAAACCAAAGCGCAGCTACAGACACAAACAGGAGAGGAGTCTCCTCCACCTCTAGGATACTACACACCAAATCAGCTAGGGTGTACTCCAATCTGAGACCTTAAAAGATGTGAATCTACCCTCAAACCTCACACTGCTCAGTAAATCTTTTATAGCACACCAAAAGATTCCTCTAGAAACGTTTAAGATGTATTCTTTAACACTAACCTTTACAGACTAAATGTATAGTACTGTGCTTTTCAGTTTAGAACCACCTCTTATCACTGCTTAAGATTTTAAGAAATTTTCCAGTGTTGTCCAATTAATATTTCCACAAAAATGACCAAATAATTCTCTTAAATAATTCCCTATTGATAAGTATTTAAATTCCTAAAGTTCGGGCTCAGTTTAACAAGAAAATCAAAATTAAATTTATCCTAATTGGGTAGCTTCTACACAACTAATTAGCAAAATAGACCAGTGAAAGCTTTCCTTATTTCAAATACTCAATTAAACACCATGAAGCTGTTTAGTACTACAATTCAGGTGTGCTATAAAAGACTACTTGAACCATCACCAAGACTGTGTGGGTTCTGTACCTGAACAAACTGGATGTGGTCATCATCATTGCCAAACACCTCAGTCTGTCCGTCAAGCAGATTCCCATCAAGCAGTTTGTGATCAGCTGAGTAGTACAGCGTTTGAACCTGCAAAACAGTAACAGAAGACCCATGTGGCTGTCTCCATGACAACAGAAACCCGGGGAACTGAAAGCCTGTTCCGCAAAGGCCCACAGGTACAAGCGTGGTCGATGCTGGAGGAAGAGGTGTTTAAAGAGAAAATACAGCTTTAAAGGAAACTCTGCAGGGATCTTGATCACGCTGAATAAACCTTCAGGCCAATGCAAAGTCATCCATGTAATTCCGGTTTCTCTCATCAAGCATTAATTAACAGAGCCATCGTCATGGCTGACAGCTGGAAAGGAGGGCGTTATTAAGGCAGGATCACAAAAGCAGCCATCTAAAATGGTGAATTTTTAACATTGTGAAAATGAATACTCCTCAGAACCATGCATGTTTCAAAGGTTTTGCTACTCACCATAAAAACAAAAAAGCTTTACTAGTTTCCTACACTACAGTAGACTAACGCAGTGTTAGTAGAAACTAAATTGGCTGATGCTGCACTTACCCTTGATAATAGTTTGACAAAAACTTTGAAATACTTGATAACTTGCAGATAATTACAATTTGTTGATGGTTTTCTTGAAAACGTACAGATTCGTTTAGTAAATTATAAACTACAAAATTACTGTACTGTATTCCGATAGGCGAATACCAATTTGCAGTATCAATGAGTAGATCCCAAATACAGTGACAGAAAATACAGATGTACAGAACATATTCTACATTAATCAGATATACAAAGAAATAAGAACAGTTTTTAAGGTTCTGGCAAAAAAAACAGTATTTACAATTGAGTTAAACAGCTGCATGAGGGGAAAAGCAGACTGTTTAACATGTACGAACTACCAAGTCTGCAGCTATAGATTAGCAAGATGGTGCCAATAAATTATGGCATCTCAACCACTTAGCACTGTATAGTTATTACACTGTAGTTACAAGTGTTGCTATACTCACTGTAGGTAAACAGTACTCATTGAAATATTTGGGATAATTCATGTAGTAATGTTAAAAAAGTGATATACCAATAAATTAGTTTTGCTTAAAAGTTTCACTTTTCGGCCTTTCATTTGTAGTTGGAATTCCAGATTTGAATTTGGTTACTTAATAAATGCTAGTAAATGGATAAATAATCAAATCCTACAAGCGCCACTTGATTTGAACAAACATAATCCATGAAGCACACAACTTGTTACAATGGTTTTATGGCTTGCAGACTTGGCAGGTGACACAAATACTTCCAACAGCACGTTTTTCGATAGCTTGGCAATTGTGCTGGAAGAAGTAAACACGATTAGTGTGGTCTGTTTAGTAGTTGTTGTTTTTATTCTGCCAACAGATGGAAGTGCAGCGGTGTTTTGGCTGTGGGCAGGACTGAAGCTGCTTCTTTATGACTCATTACCCTGGAGGATTCAGTCTTGCTTTCTTCTGTCTTGCAAATCCTGCAGTGGTTTGGCTAATAAACCTAAGGAAAGATAAATCAATGGGGAGGAAGAGCCATTAGAATTTTTAACCTACTTTACAAAATATTAAGACCTGCAAAGGAAGGAGCATCAATAGCGAGTAAGACCCTTGCCAGTTTTTTTATCTATTCCTTATGCTAATATTGCAAAGGAGAGCTGAAAAAGCACTTAGCAAGAAAGAAGGGTAAAAAAAAACACAGACTGAACAGGTTCTTTCTGCTCACCTGGATAACCCCTCAGATTTTCAGTTTAGGGGCACCTACTGCAAAATTTACATTCTTTAGGGCCAAGGCTTTAAAAAAAAAGAAAAACAAACAAACCAAAACCAAAAAACAGTGCCAAAGAGGGAAATCAACCCTTCAATGTTACAATGTTTGAAAGACAAAACACAAACTGGTTATTACACTAACCTCCTCCATTAGCGACTCCAGTTGTTCTCCACTTTCCCACAAGCTCCGCTGCACCCAGTTGATCACCTTGGAGTAAAGTTTACCATTTCCTGGCAGGCAGACGTTGTCTTCAAGCATTACCTCCAACTGTAACGCAAAGAAATATACAGAACTCCTTACAGGGACTAAATATCTTACACATTTTAATAGACATTCTTAAAGTACATTAAGTTAAATATGCTGTCCCAGAAGTAGTTTGTCTTCCTCAATGAATCTTACAAACCACAAGCATCTTGGGAGTTTTTATTTTCGTAAGGATTTGTCCATTACAGAGCATTTTAAAATCTAGAGGATCACTATGGGTGGATATTGAAAAGATATGTACAGACCTTAAGACGGGGGAGTTTGAGAAAGTCTTCCTGTTCTGAGATCTCTAACAGGTGCTCCTGGATGTAGCCATCAATTTTACTCAAGAGTCGCCCATCTCCCATGGAGCTTGCAAAGTTACGGTAACAGATACAGCTCTGGCAGTCCATCTTTGACAGTAAGTAGTCACCGCAGATCTAGACAGCACAAATAGACTTAACGATTAGCTTCCTTACATTCATTTAATAAAAAGGGTTTAATTATTTGAAAGATCATGTTAATTTCTCACTATTAGGTAACTAAAATTAAATATTACAGCAACTAGCAACCCAAAAGACTGGGGATTCCAAACAAATATACTTGTAATGAAATGTATGAAATCTATAAAATTAAAAAAAACAAAACTTTCACATTATGTTACAATACAAATGCATGCATAGTCTGAGATTTGATTAACAGTATACAGTTAATCAACAGTAACTGTATAGCAACCACAAGAATGGGAAGAAACACCTGTTTAACTCTTTCCATCTTGAGTTTCTTAGATGCAGAATACACATCCTTAACCAGCTCTTTATCAGCTTTAAGTCTGTAACAGAAAAAGGTATTTGGCATTTGTAAGTGGAAAATACAATTCCAAGATTCATATTGCATGATTTATGCATATTTAAAAAACAGTGTCAAGAATGTACAGAATGCACTCCACTGAGTTACTTAAGAAAGACTAGCCAAGCTCATTTGTGCCTCATTACTCAAGAACTATGATAACCCAAGTTAGGAGTCCTTAAGATTTCTGAGAATTGTAACATGGATACAAGGAACACCACTGCTCTGTCATACAAGCTCTTTCAAATTTGATCTATAAAGGCTCCTTTGAAGATGACCATTATTGCAGCGTACTAGTTAAAAAGCAAGTCTTACTGAGCAGTGTAGGCATAGTTGAGCAGGACTTCAACTGCTTCCGGGTTCAGATCATCGAACTTCACATGGGACACCCCGTGAGGCTCTGCGTCACTGTTAAAGATCTCAAACAGGTAGGGGCTGCAGCAAGCCAGGACAGCTCGGTGTGCCATAAGCTCATGTCCACAGACCTGAAAAGATAGTAAAAATTGCACTCCAATGAAATCGCACGTCAGAAATAATTGGTCAGGAGGTTTCTTCTTCTTAGTGGCCAGCGATATTCGTGCAAATGTACATTTTTAAAACCATCAGTCTTTAAGAGCAAAGTTATGCTGTTATGCCTAGGCCTAGGCCTACAGACATTTCAAGAATGGTCAAAAGCAACATTAGTAATATCAATAATGATATCAGAACGCATAACAGACCAGTTGAATAAATATATTCCCAGGGTCTTTTAGTACAGTTACTAATTAACTGTAAACGAAACATACCTGAAGTCTGACATCACAAAACTGCCCACTCTTCCTCAGTGCATTCATTTTGGCCACAGTTGAATCCAGGAAGCTTTCGTCTTCAAAAATTAAATATCCGTTTGGGACCATTTTGGTACTTTGTTTCAGGCCTTAGAAAAGATCAAACAAATCACGTCTTTACTGTATTATAGCACAATGAAATGCTTAGGCAACATGAACTCGAAGTGGTCTGACTTCACGGCACAAATCCCCAATGCATTAATTATCTTACCGAAGAATGATGCAACTTGACAAAAGAATACTGGTGACAGCCAAGGGAAATAAAAACGAAGGCACTGGCACCAGACCAAGAAAGATGGGTTCCGAGTCTTCGTTTGCAGAGCAGGGAGTTAGAGGAAATGCCAGCCAACAGTCTGCTAAAACAGGCCACAGCAGCTGGGGTGCAAAACTAGCAGGCTTAGATTGACTGTAATCAAGTCCTTGGTATCCCCGTGGCTATAGAAATGAGTTTCTTCTGCGATGATCCTGCATTATAACCTACAAAAAAAAAAAGAGTAATGTTTAGAGGAGATCAAAATGAAAAGCACCATGACCACAGAGCATGTGAGTAACAGTTTGCTCAGCACTAATTCTGTTTGTTACAAAGTTGATTTCCGGCGATAAAACAAGCCGAAAATCCAAAAATTATACTGTGCTTTTTAGTAGCTCCCAAAGGTCAAGCACTTGCCCTGCAATAGCAGATTAAAAAAAAGGATCAATACTTTAAGTTACATTCCCAAAGACTGTCAGCTCAGGCTAGAGTCATCATTTTACCATGCGTATCTTTCATGGTTATGCAAATCAGCACTTTAGTTTGAATAAAACACTATTTAGTTGAATAATATCTTATTTTTTCTACTGCCCTGAAATCTGTTTTAAAAGGTTAGCATAATAGTATAGAATTCTTGATTTTTACCAATGCATCTTAATTCCCACATTCTAATCTTTTTTACACCTTACACAAAGTTGGTACTTCGAAGTCCCTCATCAATAAAACTTTTGGCGTGGAATTTCACCATTGTCTTATAGCCGTATAATTCTGTAAGGAATTAGTAAGCCCAAACTTCCCCTCTAGGCAATATCCACGTTCACTTCTCAACTGCCTGTCTTCATCTGAACTCCAAACGCTGATGTCCTCGACAGTGCATGCTAGTCAGTCTTGCAGGAAAGTTCCATAGCCTTGCTTGCATGTAAATCGAGAAGCACACCCTACTCCTCATTTTCCCCACTCATAGCGGCTGTAGCCTGTTCCAAGTGTTGTAGAGATTTACAACAGCCAGAGACTTTTTTCCTCCTGTCTGTCATTCTAAAGTTATTACATCATTGAGTTAAAACGAGATCATCTCTTTTAAAATAAGGAAAGCATGGGAGCTGCTAGTTTGTAATAAGGAATGATACATGACGTAAAGTACATCATTTCAAGTAATCTTCCTTTTTTTATAAAATGACTGTTTAAGTGCATCTTCACAAGTCAATAACTAAATTCGAATTGTACGTGGTAAGATGCAACTTGTCCTGACGCATTTAAAATTGCTTGTCAACAGTTCCGATTCCCTGCCCCTTTCACGTTTGAACTTGCCACCAAATGAACTGCAAATATAATCTAGGAAATCTTCTTGGACATGATAGAAATGAGCAAGTTTCCTAATCCTGCAATTTCAAACAGCTAGGCGCTATTCTGTTGGAAGGAAGAAAATGAACCAAGTTCACTTGGAAGGAATAACAATCTCAAGCATTTAAGGCTCTGTAATATAGTCAGGGCTGAGGCCACATCTTAAAAGAACTGCCCTGAAAAACCAATAAACAATCAACGAAAAAGAACTGTATTTGTGACTTTGTATCCTCAGGATTATACAGTCTCAGTTCAGCCTTGCATGACAAAATAAACATCAGATTTATAAAGTATGAATAGTCAGAAATCATATGCATCGATGCTCAGGAAGTGGCTATAGGATCAGCTGATTGTAATCATCAAAACTCTTGGATCTTTACGCAGTGTTGTATGCCTAGTGTACATTGCTGTTCCCATATCTACAAAAGACAGGATTCTGTTCAAACTAAGACTTATCAAGATTACAGTGTTTGATATTAAAAAACATTTGAGTATTTTTGTGGACAACTCGTCTGTAAAGCACTTTCACTTCCTATGCTCCCCAGCCTTAAGAATCTGGCAATCCCATGGTGGAGGTTTCAGCAGTGCGTGGGGAGAATGCTGGCACTGGGCAGATGTAAGCTGGTTTGCTCATTTCCACAGGTTATGCAACAGCTGGCAGACAGCACCAACAGGCTGGAGATTATAGTTTCAGGATAACGAAACAGATGTTTTACCATTTTCCATGTTCCACCACGAAAACCCATGTAACGCCGTGTTGAAACAATACGTATCGAAAGATTTTATTAAAAAAAGGGAATCGCTTCAAGATTTGGAATGTTCCCAGAGTTAGGCCAAGACATGTATCTCACTTCAAAGCATAAACAAATCGATTCCTCGTCTGCCTCAGATTGATTTTACAATGAAAGGACTCAAGAGGCCCCTTCAAGTTGAAGAGCAGTGAAGCACCAGCCACATGAATAAGGGTTCCCACCACAGCAGTCCATAAAGCTTTGAGTTGAATACACCTTTAATCCCAGTTCCACCTTGAGAACACAGAGCTGGTCTGACCAAAACTACTCTACTGTTTTAGAAATAACATTTTAGGTTCTCTGACACGAGCAATCAAAATGTTTTTACACTTTTGATTTTAATGCTTTTTAACCACAGGTGTAAGGCTAGCCACCAGATTAATGTTACTCTTATTATCAACTTCTACCAAAGCTCTTAAAGTAGGAAAAATGAACTCTGAACAGAATCTTGCTCAGGCTTTCCAGACTAGGCTGGTTTAGCCAACAATAGTATGAGCTGCTTTCCAAAGAAACTCAGGAACTTTCCTGCAGGAACTAGAGTATTCTAGAAAAACTCAAGTAGCTATGGGGAATTTCCAAATGCTTACAAACACCAATAGGTTTTACAAAGATTTTGTTTTTCCAGATAAAACTTTAAATTGTGTAAGGAAGACATGAATAAGACGGTGGATAGGATAGGGAGGTTTAGAACTCTGAGCTTGCCTCAGAACATCAGAAATAGTTCTCTTGATTTTCACAGTGAGTAGGCTATTCTCTTTAATTTAAAAAATGAGGAAAAAGACTAACTATACTGCAATCACATTGCTTTTCACTGAAATACAAACAGTTTAATCTTTCAACTTTCCCTAATGATATGCAGTATGTATACTATTTTAAATGTCATATTTTATATTACAGACTCCAATAACCATATTATTCTGAGGCAAACCACTTTTGTTGAAATCATACATTAATGGCCCCTGAGTCTAAATTACTACAAAGCCAAAGACTGCCAAAACATACCGTATTATTGAATGCATTATCTAGTTGCACCGTTCAGAAATTAAAAAAATTATTCAGTGTGACAACCCCTATTCATTCCTCTACAATATACAGTAATCCTAAAATAAACCAGATAAACGGATGTGAGAGCAAATGTCTTGGCCAGACAAACACACCAGTTCCACACAAATCCACACTAATCTGGATTTATCTAACCTTCCCATCATAACCAATGTCTGAGAAATCCGGAAAGTTCTAACCTTTCATCCAACTATTATCGTGAATCAGTAAATATTTGAAGATGTGCAGCAGGCACCTTATTTCCGGTTCCAGAAGCAGTTCTCTCAATCTCAATAGGCGGCTACTGTTTTAGGCTTTGCAAATGCATTTTGTGAAAAATGCACAGCATTTGACTGTTTTTAGCTTTTAACCAGCAATGTTACCTTCGTCGAATACCCTGCAATCGCAGCAGTTCAGCTCTGCAAGCCAGTATCACAAAGTGGAAAACACGCCAACCACAAACAAACGCAATGCTGCTGGTGTGTACCTGCCAACACAGGAAGCAACCACAAGAACATTCTTCAACCATGCTCTGTACTCTGCTTACAGTTGCTACGTGACACATCTCTCACAACACTTTCTCCTGTACTGCGGTGTTGATCGTTCACCTGGGTAGGTGTACATATTTCTCTCCAGAGGCGGCCGACTCATCCTACAGGCAGAGTACTCCTATTTTCTGTTGCGCAATCCAGTTTGTGATAATGTGCAAATTGCTGGTAGCAATGCAAGGCACTGCACAATCCCATGAAGAGAGATATTACCAGTACTAGAATCCCCACATCTGCCCAAACCAGCACAGCTTCCAAGCCAGCAAAGAGAGATGAGAACTCAACAGAGCCTGCAGCCCAGTCTGTTCTCCTGGGAACAGGGGGAGCCTCAGCGCTTTTGTTGCAAGCGCCTGTAAATGTTTTGCTAATTATTGCTTTGGCGACACTGTAATAGACCAGCCGTGCCAAGAGAGCCCTTTATATTTGATATTTATGACAGTACGCTGTAACTAGAACATTAAGTCATGGAAAAGCGGGCCCACTAAAACGTTGCATGCTCTGTGGAGCAATGCCATTGACAGAAGCAGCCCAGGTCAGTGAGAAACAACCGACTCAAATCGGTTTGCCAGCGGCGTTTCCGCTACGAATAAAAAATTACATTTCACGGCCAAACGCTTCTACGAGATCAGATCGGCAATGCAATCTGTACTTCTGAGTCATAAACCGCAGAACTGCCCGATTCCGGAGCAAGAACCGTTCAGTCACGTTTCCCGGTTCAATCCTCTCGTCTTGAAAGCGCCCCCACTTTCACACATCAGACATCTTGTCCGACAGCTGTCAATCCGCACCCTTTGCTTTTAGCAGGAAAGAATTATGACGATTATGGCGATGGTGTGAAGTACACACTCGCCACCATGTGCTTTTCATATAATAATGCGTGAGATCTCACGCACACCGTTTCAGAAAGGGCAAACGTGGATTTCCCACGAATCTTAAAACCCGAAATTAAAAGCAGTGCTCGCACGAAGGACAATCTCTAGGGAAGCTGTAACCACGAATTCGCTCTGTGCTCCTGTATCCACGTTACAAAGGACGTCTTCCAACGGGATTCGCATTTTTTTTAGGATTTTGTTGTGCATTTTTTTTAACGATCGGTCCTATTTTTTTTTTAGATTAACTGTCCCTTTAACAAACCACCCTGAAGCACGATCCTAGTGCGAACTAGCTGTCATCCCACCTCTCCCCCTGACCACTGTTCCAAAGGCCACTCTCTCCAATCAGATAGCGAGACAACGTCCCAATGCAGGTCTCCGATTCGCTGGCTAAACTGTAAATCAGTTTAGCAGGCTAGTTTTAATGAATTCGAGTGAGAGATTGCATCAGTGCCAATAAACTTGCAGCTCAAGGTTTCCAGTGCCGTCTCTAGCTACCCCCACTATGGAGACCGAAAACTGGGTCAGGCGTGCGCAAGATTGAAGATCGCACTCTGCTTTTTTGGTTTGGGGGGGATTCTAGCGTGTACTGAATAACATATAAGACAGACACGTTTTTCTTCCCCTGCCCTAAAGCTACACAACAGAAATGAAAAAGGACATGCACGTCACGATATTGCTGCCTAGTTAAAATGAAGACGAAATCTGCACGAATCATGTCCTTCCGATCACAAGACCACTTGGAGCCCAAACACCGCACACAAGACATCCTCTAGTCTTGAAGCCTCTCTTCAGACAAAAAAAAAAATCAACTGCTATTTCAGCAAAAAAACAATACAAGTGATGGGCGATTAAATCATCGCAATAGACCACACTCTAAAACAACTTCCTGAGCCAAAAGAAATCATTAATCGCTCCATCTGACTACAACCGTATTCAAGTGAAAAGCGTTTTTTTAAAACGAGCTAATCAAAATAAAGTTTCAAGTGTGTTAATATAATGGATACACATTTTCCGAAGAGGGTAGGGCCCGACTGTCATTCGATTTCTTGAGCTGCCCATGCTACTGTAAAAAAAAATGAACATCTTAATCACACGTGCATTTGTCCAGTTCATTCTGCAATCCGCTAGCTTTTCTAATAACCAGATTACGACTAGATGCCGAAGAAGCAACGAACCTTTTTAAAATACAAGCCGATCACTAATGTCAAGGCTGACGGACAACACATTCGGTGCAGCAGTCAGCTTTCAGTGACCACCGACTTTACTACCCCCAAGGCCTTCTTAAAAAAAATAAGATGACGAATTATAAATCCGGATACATCAAAGTGAATTTCGGTATCCGTGCAAAACGTAAACCTGTCGCCATTTATAACTAGTTATAGGGCTTGATAAAATAGTCTCGGTCATTTCTATTTTATAACAGGAAAATAGACCGGACACGAACAATACGATGCCGCCCCACACCACATCGCCGGCCAATTGCCACACGTCACTCTCTCGACTTACAAATTGCCGCACATTTGAAAAGGGGCACGCTTTACCTGTTTTCTTTGACAGTAGACGATAGCAGACATACTGTAAATTCAGAGTTGGTGCTGTGGGGTGCTGCAGTATTCTCCCGTTTCGCTGAAGGCTGACAGACAGACAGGCCGGCCGGCAAAAGGACACGAGGCGCGCTACTTCTCCGCTCACCCTGACAACGCTTCCCAGCTCGAGCTCGGACTGAGCTGGCGTGGCGCGCGCTCTTAACAAAGACTGGGGGGGGGAACCGCCACTCGCCGTGGTGACGTCAGGAAGAGTGATGGGGCTGCGCGCAAACAGGCAGCTCGGCAGGGCGGGGCTGCTCCGGGCTGTGCTGTGCTCTGTGCTCTGTGCTCTATCAAGATGGTTTCTAGCTTTTTCTTCTTGTGCGGTTTCCTGTTTCTAAATTGTTTTGGTAATATGTGAATAACGCCAGACACATATAAACGCGTCATGCGTATTCCGTTTTTGTTTTGATACATATTATACCTGCACTATCATTCGACATTTCTAAAGCAAATGGCCATCTTTCCTTATGTTCGTTGAGTGAAACGTTTGAATAGGTCTCAGAACACGTGGATACGTTTTACTCTGGTGTCTCTATACATCCTTTCAGTGCAATTATTATTATAAACATTTCTCGGATGAATTGTCGAATAACGTTAAAGGTCTTGAGTAGTGCTAAGCGTGATGTTCCGCCCCCCAAGAGATGAGCACATTTCCAAAACCTAAAAACCGAACTGTTTCAAACAAAAATGTTCTCATCTATCGCAGGAAAAACATTTTTGTGCGTCAATAGTTCTATTGAATACATGTCCGCAATTGTTTGACTTGGGTTTTTTGAAAACATTCCTTATAAACCGCGTTATTTTGAAACATTACCTGAGAAATCATAAAGTGCCTGAATTAAGGAATTTTATTTGAAGCATGGCCTAACCAGCAGAAAAATAAAACTACACACACGAAATATCTTCAGACTGTTCGCATTTTCAATGTAGTGAGTAAAATTGTCTTTTCTCTTCATTAGCATTTATCTGGCTGACACTTTTTTTATATACCTATAGCCTGTTACAGAGCTGGGCACACTACTAAATCAATCTTTGCAAAAGGTTATAGCAGCATTGTCCCACCTTGGAGGTACTGTAAACCTACAAGTTTAAAGCCCTAACCTCTAATCCAGAGAGCTGGATCCGAGTACAATCAGACTCTTCATTCAGATTTACATGGAGTATTTTATTTATCAGCACTGATGTGGACGTGTGAGCTGTAACGTGCTTGAATTCTTGCTGAACGCCACCCTGGTGCAAAAGGCAGCCGAACCTGAATCTCCACGTTGGTGTGCATTGATTTCAAAACATTGAGGAGGCCATGTTTTTTTCTACCCTCTTGGTCCATCCACACTGATGAGTCTCAGTAGCCATCTGAACTGCTGTCTTACCATTGCGGTTCAGGTTGATAAGATACCACATTTGTGAACTAATGTGTAACCACTTTGGGGTGACCACCTATCTGATCTGTTTGTTAAGGTGACTAAATATCAACCTTTTCCAATATTTGGCAATGTATGAGTGAGGCACTAAGTTGTTTGGTCTTGCATAATGTAAAGGCTTGGGAATGATAATTGCATGTCATCAACGGTACCTTGACACCAAACCTATTATGGTAGCTGTCTTTTTTAACATTCATAGAAGGATTACAAACAGTATATACTTTTTCAACCTTATTAAATAGATGTTTTATCCTTGTATGCTTAAGTAAACCTCTTTTGGGCAGCATATCTCAAACATGTGGACCCACACTGCTTTTTGTTGCTAAGAGGCAAGCAAATTTCTCATTTTGTGGGCTGGTTCAAGGAAAGAAATTGTCTTTTGATGCATTGTCTCTTATTCTAGGATAAAATGCTTGCACATTTAAAATTTACCAAACCGCCGAGACAAGCTAAAAGGCCTCCTTTTGTCCGTAATCTTTCTTAGGCTCTCATGACAAATTTACAGATTGCTGTAACACTTATCAGGGATAGATAGTTTCCAGATAATGGATGGGATGGGCATAAGTTCTGTTGAACACAAGCAGCACTGACAGCTGGAGTTGTGATTGTGTTTTTTTATGTTTGTAGTATTGAAAATGGGAAAGAAACAAGCACACAAACAAAAGAATGTCTTGACATAAAGTGAAAATTAAGTCATAATTTGGGAATCCTTCTTAAAATGATATAAAACAGTACTGCTACTATTGTTGTATGTACACTGGATCAAGTCATGTTGATCTACACAGATTAAAGCATTTATTGATTTTTACCACATGAAAGTATTTTTTAAGTTGTTTATATAGAGGGTCCTTTAAACATATAAGAAATTAGGCAAAATACCCTTTTCTTAAAAGAAAACCTTTTTACCTGTTCCCTTCACTCTGAAACGATGATACGCTATGGCTAAAGTATGAGAAACACTGTCACGAGCAGAAAGAGAAAAGGATTAAATCACATATTTAAATATTTATACAAAAAATATGTGTGTATTGTCAAAACATCAACCTACATCAAAGTGGCTGATGTTAATTCACCTCTGTCACTGTTCAAAATAGGGGTTCGGTGTTAATTTTAACTCCATCAGACTCAGATGAACACTGCATGATTTGCTGCAATCTTTCTGTCGAGCTTATTTTTTTGTTCTAAATGTTGCCTGTTTTTTTTTCTGAGCAAGCTTCCCCTCTGAGTGAAAAGTGAGCAGCCTGAATTGTTTCACTTCGCTTTTCCTGCTGACAGGAACGGACAGTTCAGTGAGCGGAGCTTAAAACAAAAATACCGCAGAACCATCACTTTTTGGATCATTTCAGATCACTGACAGTAGGGTGTGATGCAACTCCAGAGATTATGAGAGCCAAGGGAGATCTAAACATCTCAGAACAGGTGAGGGTTACTATGTGCATGATAATAGGATTACTGGATCAAAACTGCAGCTACAGACGTATGAGCTTCGTAAGAGCATTGTTAGCTACTTCTAATGAGCACCCTGTGTGACAGCAGAGGTGCGATAGCCAAGGTTACAGATGCTCACTTTTCTTTCTATGAGCAGAGCCATGTTAAAAGCCAAGCAACAACTGTAAACAAACATGTATCAAGTGCAGTACATAGGTCTCTGTTGTATTCAGGTATAAATCAGGAGTTCAGAACAGTGGAAAGGAATTGCTTTGTGGCCCTCACTGAAATCATCCATCCATTTTAGACTACTTGTCCTGCTTCTGCATCGTGACTCTGTGTACATTATTTATTTAAAAAAAATTACAAGATGAAAACTCTTTGGTTTGAAGAGTGCAAGGACCAGGAAGATGTATTTGTTCGGCTTTAGAGTTTCTGTTTTCACAGATCATAACCTACTACTCTTTAAAGAATGTTTCATCATCTCAGACGGGCAACATTTTCACATTCTATCAACTACTACAAACGTGAAAACATATTGCTCCCACATTGATGCCTTAAATCTGAGCAGTATTTTTTTTTTACTTGTCTCTGCTCCTTTAGAGTCCATGGATCTCCATTAGAAAGAGTGGTAAAGTAAATCTCATCTTGATCATTAATAAGAGCAAAGCTATATCAAATTTCTCCACTGAAATTTAGGCCTAACTTGAAGCTTTTTAGCCATGAATAATAGTGGAATGTATGTGGTCATTTTATTAAATAAGAAATTACAATAACAAAAAGACGTGACAATCATTACATTTAACTATGTTTCCAAAGAAAGAGGTTACCTTTTATTTCAATAATAGTCGAAATGAGTTAAATCTATTCTCCAAAAATCTCACGCCTGTTGTTTGATAACTCAATGTACAGGTATGTGTTTGGACACGTATGTGTGTGACACACTCTTTAGTGTGGATAAATCTTGTTGAATGTACAATTGCATTCCCAATTGCACTTAGAAAGGAAAGTCACCTGCCTCTGCTAACTCTTCAGGAAATTGCTGTTCTTATGGTTCTTTTATTATTTATTAAAACCACATTTTGCTACAAACAGTATGACATTTCCACACAGAACAGCAATTTCTTTCTCTTTTTTCGCACGATCAGATTTCAACAAACAGTTGTTGTTAAGAAACAAATTACAATTCATTTGCGTATGAAACTCTTCAGATTGCTTTGGAACCAAGGCATCGGACCTCCTAACGAGAGGCCTGGCCTGGAAAATTACAGCCCTGTCATGCACAAATTTCAATTGAACCAGTCATTATTTGTCTCCACTCTTTGCTATTATTGTAGAGATAAATTCAATAGGGGCAAGAGCAGTGTCAACTAGAACGAAATGGCAGACTTTACAGTTAACGTTTTATGATCATTTCCTTTCAGGAAATGCTTAAAGTGTCAGATAGATACTGTAGATAGATACATAGATACATACTGTAGATAGATAGATACTTTATTGATCCCGGAAATTGCAGTGCAACAGCAGCTTAACACAGACAACACAGCCACAGTGTAATGAATGATACAATAATAATACTAATACAATACATACAATACAATCAGTACAGTGAGAAGTGCACTAAGAAGAGTTACTTACAGTCCAGAGCACACAAAGAACAAACCGGAACAGAACAGTACACAAACAAGTCATATTGCACAATATGACAATAAATAAACTATAGTAAACTATAAACTATAATATGAATAGAAGTGTCTCGGAGCTATGGGAACGTATGGGAAATATCTAGGATGTTTTGCTTCTTTTACAAATATACATATACAAATATTCTACTTTCCAAAGTGATTTGGAAGTAGCTTAAACAACGTCATGTGGGAAGAGAAGTGTCATATTTCCCGTCAGATAATTTACTGTGGAAACATGTAAATTAACCCAAGCTGTTTGACCAGCTCGATTCTGTACACCCCTCTTTCCTTTTAAATAGAAGAAAACTAAGGATCTGAATGGGTTACATTTTCTTAACAGGAAGGTAAGCAGGCTGTTTCCCTGCCCCAGCAACTATTGCTGTTATACTGAATTGTGAAGGATTAATGTGCCAACAAAAATAGTACAGTGTCTTAGGTTCTATCTTTCAGATTCCTTTATGAATGAGTTCACTCATAAATGACTGAGACCTACAGTACTAAGTAGCATGTCAAGGCCAGTGCACCAATCAAATCCAGAGCATCTAAGGTTAAAAAAAGCATGACTGATGCAAAGATGAAAATGTTTGAATTAAAAGAAATGTGTATGCAA